CGACCGGCGCAGTCAACTCCCCGCGCTTGGAACGCGGCCGGGCCTGCACGGGTTGCGTCTCCCGGCCGCACCGACACTTCATCTCCCCTGGACCTGGGGATGGAGACAGCCTCCAATGCCGCCCACGCCCGGGCACAATACCGCTGGGCCGCGCGATCGACCCGCGGTTCGCCCTGCGCGGCCCGCAATGGCAACCGACGCCGGACTGGCGCGCGCTCCCGCCTCTGCTGGTCGCTTGTTTTTGCCGGCAACTTTCGGCGCTCTGCGTGGACTCGCAGGCGCAGGCAACGCGTTCCCACGCAAACCGCCCGGCGCTTTACCGCGCCCCCCCCGCTTTGCACGCGGTGCCCCCGACGCGAGGGTTTGCGCAGCGCGCGCACGCGCGCCCGGCGCTTCGGCGCCCGCCCCCCCCTCACCGCTCTTACCCGCGGCGCCCCCGTCGGCAGGACCCCGACAATTGGGTGGAGGCGCGCCCGGCGCTTTACCGCGCCCCACCCGCTGTCCACGCGGGGCCACGATTATCCGGAGAAACTTCTGCCGCCTCAACTCCTCGACGACCGACGGGGGCAAGAACGCGGCCTTCTCACGAACGGTCGACACCGCCACCCGCTGCTGCGCCTCTTTCCCTAGGTCGGCCAACATTATTTTTCCTGGCGCAGAACTCGCCCAGCATCGCACTTGCTCCCACTGCACTGGGGTCTCCAGATCGGTCCGCAGGCACGACAACACTCCGGCCATGTGCAGGCGCGTGCACATCTCGGCTTGCCGCCGACGCGCATTATACACGATCGGCATCTGGTTCCGACGGGAGTTGTCTCCCCCCTCCGTCCAACCGCCCGAGATGACTCGGGCTTCCCAGTCCAATTGTATCGCGCTCGCCCATGTAGGCCCAGCCCGGCGCAAACTGTACGAAGTTACAAGATCCAACTGGGAATCATCCGCTAGCGAGCCTCGGAATACTTCCTTCAGCGATCGGTTAAAGGCACCCAACTTCACCGGCGCGCCGGAAACTGGATCCCCGTCGGCACAGCCCTTCCTGCTCGATCTTCCCGCGCCGCCAACTTGTGCCAACCGCCCCACAAGGCGTCAGCGGCGGACCGCGCGCCACCTAGCCGCCTCGGCAAGCACCAATCGAACGAAGGTCGCCCCTGTCGCTTTCCCTGCTTCCCCCTCGATGCGCGGAACCAGCAAAAATAAACAGACTTCTCCAAAGGCCTAGAGCGCAGCAGGTGCGTGTACCTCACCCACGCGAATACCACCGCCAGCATCCCAGCCGCGAGCATGACTTGCCCAGGCGTTCTCGCGCCATCCAGGAAATCGATCACATGGTAAATCATCTCGGGTTCGACGACAGTGGCCTGGGCCGGCGGCGCTACGGTTCCACTGCCTGGATCACGTGGCACAGGGCGAAACGCGTCGTCCAGGCAGAAAGGCGCTTTCAAATGTACGCACATCCACTTCAAGGCGTTCCAGATCCTGACGCCGGACGTCCGTGCGATTGAGAGCTTATGCGCGAACTCGGCGACTGGGTTGCCGCGCCAGACTCGTCGCCGGCTGCCCTTGCCGGCCCGCCCACTCGGCCCACTGCCCCCACACGCGCAAGGCCGTGCGCAGCGTCCCGGATTCGAAATTACTCAGCCTAAACACCGCCGCGGACGAGACGTCGGCGAGCATCTCGGCCTGCGCCTCCTGCAACCCCTGCCCGAGGCCGCATTCCGGGCGCCATTCAAGCGACACTCGAACTGCGCTGACCGCCAGCTGAACGCGCCCCTCACGCTCTGCCGCCTCCGTCGCCACTGCGGCACAGCGTCTCGGCCGACCGCGGCGCGCGGCGGTAGGCCCACGCCCTTCCCCCGCCGCGGCCCCCGCGCTCACGGCGGGCGCGGCGGCCGCCGCCGCGCCGCCAAATCGCCCCTCCGCGCAAATGCCATGCGCGGGCACCAGCCACGGCGTCACCCGCGCCACGTACCGAGCCACGGCCCAGGCCGCGGGCACTCCACACTGCTCCGCCTCGTCCGTCGAGCAAAACAAATGCGCTAAATCGCCAGCCGACTCCAGTCCCTCTCTCTGCACGAGCGCAGAAAGGGACTCGCGCTCGGAGGAATCAACCCTCCAATCTAAGAACTCTTCGATGAAGAGCTCTCCGCGCTGCCCGGCCATCAAGCAGCACACAAGCAAGAAACAAACCAACAGCAACCGCTGTCGCCAACGCGCTTTGCTCGCACGATCCAATTGCGCGCTCTGATGCGCGCAGTCCCTGCGAGCGCGCGCGGGCGTCCCCTTCTGTCATGATTATGGTTCCCTGACCCGAGCCTCCCCGAGCCTAAAGTCAACGCAAAATGGCTTGAGCCAAAATGGCTACGGAGGCCTCTGGAGGCGCTCTTGGGGCGTTTTGGCGGCGTCGTCGGCCGTCCTGAGGCCATCTTCGGCGTGTCCGGGGCCTCTTGGGGCTGCCTTGGCAATCTTTAGGGCTCTCTTGGCGTGTCGTGGCGTGCTTGGGAGCGGGCCCGGACAGTCCCGGGAGCCCTGGGGGCTGTTGAATGCTAGGTGTTGTCTTGGAGGCGGAGGCTGTTGAGTGCAGGGTGGCGCGTGCTACGCGTAAGGCGGGCGAGCGGCTGGGCGGGCGGCGGGCGGGCGGGCGGGTGGCGGGCGGGCGGGTCTGGATTTGAATGAATTCCTTAAGGCTGCTCTCTTGCAGCGGGAGCTTGTTGAGTACAGGGTGTTGCCTTGAAGGCGGGGGTTGTTGACTACAGGGTGTTGTCTTGGAGACTGAAGCTGTTGAGTACAGAGTGGTGCGTGCTATGCGGACGGCGGGCGGGCGGCGGGTGCCCTAGGTGGTGGGTCAGAGGCCTCATGGGTGTTGTTTTGGATCTCGTGGTTGGCCTGTCGGGGACGTCATGAAGGCAGTTTCACAGCTTCTCGGTAGCCATTTTGAGACCGTTGTGGGACCTCCTCGGGGCTGTTTTGTGGCCTCTTGAGGCCTTGTTTGGGTCTCCTGGGTGCCTCTCGGGGGCCTCCTGGGGCCTCTGGGGGGCTCCTTGGGGCCTGGGGCACTCTTCAAGCGGGAGGGTCGAATTTTGGAGTCGTGGTCCCCCTCTTGGGCGCATCTTGGGGCCGTCTTGGGGCTCTATGGGGCGCCTCTGGGGCCGTCTGGGGGCCCTCTTGGGCCGTCTCGGGGCGCTCTTGGGGGCCTACGGAGCCGGCCTGGAACGTCGGACAACCGAAAAGGCTGGAAGGCCAAAATCTTTCCAAAGCCTGGGTAAAATTGACGATTTTGGTCTCTTGAAGCGCTCGGGAGAGGCGTCTTGAAGCGTCGTGAAGTGCCTTGGGAGGGTTTCTCGGGCCGTCTTGGGCCTATCTTGGGCGTCCAGGAGCGGTCTTTCGGCGACTCGGGGCCCGCTTGGGCCGTCTGGGGAGCCTCTGGAGGCCCTCCTGAACTATCTTGGACCTCCCCCGCCGCCCCGTCCGCGCACGGGGGGTCGGGGCAGCTGTTTGTGGGCCCTGGGCCTGTCCCCCAGGGATATAGATTCCTCTTCCTATATTTTTATAAGCCCGGGCGGGGGGAAAACCTGTCACTCCCCCCCAAAAACCGAACTCCTGGGATCTGCGGCTTTGGGACCCTCCGGACGGGCCTCGAAGCGGCCCCCCCAACCTCGCAGGGCGTTTTGCCAAGCCTTCCCAGCAAACCTAAGGCGATCAGGAGGGTCATCGGAGACGTCCCAGAGACCCCCAAGACAGCACAAGAGCGCTTCAAGAGTGACCGACGTGACCTCAAGATGGCCCAAGAGGCCTCCAGGACGGCCCCAAAGAGGGCTCCAAGAGCATTTCCAAGAAGGCCCCCCGAGGCACAAATCATTGATTTTCTGTTAGTTTTTGGTGAATTTTGGGGTTATCCTCTTTTCGGCTTCCCGACGCTCCAACACGGCGGTCTTCTGGGCGTCCGAAGCCGCCTGGGAGGCTCCCAAATCGCCCCACAACCATCCGAAAAGGCTTCCAGGCAATCCAAGAGAGCCCCCAAACGGCACAACACGGGTCCAAGATGGCCCTCAGAGAGCCCCATGGCGGCCCAAGATGGCCCAAAGACACCCTCCGAAGCATTCGAAATCGTGACCCGGTCGTTCAGGGAGACCGCGGTAGGAGGCAGGGTGGCCCGAGGAAGCCCCCGGAGGCCCCCAGAATACGCCCAGGAGGCCTTCAGAATGCCTTAAGAAAGCTTGAAACAACTTTTGTGAGGCTCCGCAAAAAAGAGCTGAGGAGGATGGGGAGAATGCGCAGGGTATGGAGAACATAAGGAAAAAAAAGCATGGAGGACGGATAATACATAACATTATTATTGCGGCGATGCCGGAAGAGGCAACCAAGAGTTATCGCTAAAGTGTCGGGTTGACCTTCCTGCTATTCCGCCGACAATTGCGTAAATCACAATCAAAAGCTGTGCAAAACGCCGATCGTCGCCAGCAGAGGTGCTGGGCTCTTATGGTGACGGGATTTGCTGCAGGCGCCTGGCTCACATGTTATTTGTCCAGCCCCCCTGCGTTGCGGCGTTGCCACGCGACGAATAAAGTCAGCGCAGCCCCATCGGGGTTTCGAGTGTCAGGAGGCGACTTGAGCGCAGCCCCATCGGGGTTCGAATGTTGGGGCGAGGCCCCCTTGAATGCACTCCCTGAGAGTTCTACACACCAGGGAGGCGGGGGGCGTTGATCGAACACTTCAGATGCTGCGCGCATAGTCGGTCACCTTGAGTGCAGCCCCCAAGGGGTTCGAGTGTCTGAAGGGGGCGGGGGTAGTTGAGTGGAGCCTGGGGGGCCTTGAGCGCAGCCGCTGAAGCCTGTACGAGTGCAGGGATGGGGGGGGGGCTTGACCACGCCACACTGGGTACTGTGAGCGGTCCGCGCGCTGATGATAGCTCCGTCCTGCCCTCGGTGCCGGCTGCCGGCAAGTCTACTACTCGGTATCTCTCCCGATTCTGCCTCTCAGGGTCCCCGGGCAGGCAGCCCCGCCTGGTCAAAGTCGAAGAATGACCTCGGGGCGCGCTGGCGCGTGGAGAGGACGTGGCTGATCTTGAGGCCGTTCTTGCGGGGGCGGGGCCGCGTCGAGGGCGGGCAGACAGAGTCAGGGGACCCAGAGAGGAGGCGTACAGCCGCTCAGCAACATAGCGACCACGGCGAGCTCAAGGCCTTCCCGCAATCTGAGACGACGTAGCTAATACTGAGGCCACTTCTGTTGGACGCTGAAAGGCGCAGGGCGAGGAAGCATGGGGGAGGGGATACCACATTCCCCCCTTCCTCCCCTCCCCCCCGGCCCGCCTTCCCTCCTTCAGTCCCCTCTCCGTCCACCTCCTGCCTCCCTCACTCCCCCCCTGCCGTCGTTATGCCCTAAAGGCAACCCAGCCTGGACTGGAGGCCCCCAGCACAAGAGGTTCACATAGACACGTGTGCTTGAGGCCTCTGGCTTTGCATGAGAGAAAAGACCGTATGTTGTTTTTTACTCCGAGCGACTGCCGCATTGTCGCTGATGTCCAAATTCAAATTGGCGAGGTCGGACCCAGACTAGGGCCAATCAGAAGCTTGGTCGCACCAGACAAATTCAACTTGCGTGGTCGCGTCGCGCAGCCAGGAACTAGTCTTCTTGGACTAATTCATAGCTATGTTTCCCTGTGCCCGATCCTTCTCCTTCTCTCCCTCCTCTTCCAGGCACCGCCTAAACATGCACGAGCACACGCAAACATCAGAGGAGAACTCCAACGAGCTGCGGAACCTGGTATCGCTACCAGTCTCTCATCCAATATTCTAGGTCGGTTCCCGAAACCATGTCACTTCAATTTGAATCGCTGAGTGATCCACTGGCTTCCTGTATCTCTGTATCTGTCAACACGCGCCCTGGAGAAACGTCGAATGCTGTTGCATGGTGGAAGGCACTTGCCACCCCGGTGACATTCCCGTTGACTAGTCTGTATCTATGTTTCCTGGCCAATTCGATGCCAATCATTTCATTTCTGTGCGCCCCGCGCGGCCCTAATGCGAGGCGGGGGTATATCCACCACCACCGCCTAGGGGATCGATGTTCGGAGACCTGTGCAGGCGGCGGTTTTGGATACATGTTGCCCCCACTGGCCCGAGCATTTCCACAACCAACGCCTGCCGAGGTCTCCGAAGATCGATCCCCCAGGCGGTGGTTATGGATAAATCCTCGCCTCGGACAGCCGACGCCAACATCCACTGTTCTGTGCCAGCATCGCTGCCCTGAGGCTATGCGGGACAAGCGCGCGCGCGGCCCCAGATTGACATCCACTCGCGCCCACTGCCGAGCGCTGCCACTGTGGGCCTATCCGCAGAAGTTCGCGAACTGCGTGCGGCAAGCTCGTAACGTGACGACATGCGCACTGGTCTGCGACACCGCGTGGTGCTTTCAACCCTGATGGGAGGCGGGGGTTTATCCATAACCACCGCCTGGGGAAACGACCTTCGGAGACCTCAGCAGGCGATGGATATGGGCATGTGTCCTCCATTAGCGCAGCATATTGTTCGATGTAGGACGATGCCTCAATCTTGAACGTCCACACCAAGCCACACAAACTCAACCTGGAGGGAACAAGACGGGGGAATGACAAGGTGGTGAATGCACTGTGGGTACGTGTGGGTGCGAGTTGCCGGGGTCCACGGAATCTCCCGCTCGAGAAGGGGAACCCCCATTCGACAATCTCGCACCTGCAGCCTGGGCGGAATGCTGGCCCCGAGACTGGCAGGCTGATCCGGATGGCAGCCGGTCCGAGGGCTGCCGAAGGCTCACGACCGCATGCCAATTCACCTCACGGGGCGCGCTCGCGGGGCTGCCTGGCCGACACCGCGAGACGGCGGAGGCAGCGAGACGGCGTGGCCACGCTGCTGTCGCCGAGGGCTTGCGCCCGCGGGGGGCTCTGCCAGCGGGCCTGATCGCTAGAAGCACGGCCACAATGATGCGGGTCAAGGTCACGAGCCCCGGCACCGAAGGCCTAAGGCCCCATGGACACACCTAGAACGAAGAGCGCGTCAAGGTGGAAAGCACGAGGGTATCATCCACAGCCAGAGCTGCTCTCAAACACTGTGACAATTTGTATCCCCCTCCTCATCATATTCCCTATATTTTCTTGAGCACGGCTGAGGAAACAACCGTTTTGTCAGTCGTGTGGACCGCGTGGCAGACTGGAGGACAGGATCGCCGCGACTTGGCCTGATGCTGCGTCCAAGGCAATCGGCCCAACTCCAAATACGGCTTCGAAGCGCACGGATCAGAATTGCACAACAAGCGGAACAAGAAGCCACTCATTACCAGCGCAGGTCCCGCAATTCTCGTGGTCCCCCCCTCACCTCATCGACTCCTACCTCCTCCTCCTCCGCCTCCTCCTCCTCCACCGAAGTGTTCAGGAGGGGCGCACGGCGCCTTGAACTCCAGCCGCATGCCCGTCGGGTCGCTACTGGCAGCGCGGTGGGAGGGTCCAGCCCAGCAGAGGTCGGAGCTTGCCACTGCGCAGGCCGTTACGACTTCGTCCCATGTTACACTACTAACGGGGAACATGGCGACCACAACCCCCAATCCCCACCTAATTAACAGGGTGGTTCGACAGGAGAAATCAATGCGGGCCCCAACTCAGGGATGTACATTGGTGGGGGGCATCCTCGATAGCGGTGAGTCCGAACAGCCCCGTATCCCCGAGCTACCTGTGCACGGCCAGGTTGTTCGTTGGGGGCTCGGGGATCGAGAGGCGAGGAAACACCTGCGGAACAGTGCCGGCGCTCACGGTCAGGTGTAGGGGTGGGGGTGCGAGAGGCCGTAAGCACAACACAGGCCGCTGCTGCACCCTCCTCCTCCTCCTCCTCCTCCTCCTCCCTCCTCCTCGTCTCCCTCCTCCCTTCTCCACCCGACTCGTCCTCCTCATCGTCCATCTTCCTCCCTCTCGGTCCCTCCCTGCCTTCCCCTCCGTCAGATATCCTCCCTCCCAGCCTCCCCTCCCCCTCTTCCCCCCTCCCTCCCCTCCATTTTCTGGACCCAGGATCGATCCTCAAAAGTCCACCCGACCAACCTCCTCCGCCCTCCCCGCTGTTACGTCAGCGAATGCATCGTCCGGCTTGGGTCGAATAATGGCACCATCTGCTTCATCGGTGGCGGAGACTCGGTGCTTTTGTGCATTCGTTCGTCGGCGAGTGCAGGCTCATGCTGTTCGGTGCGTGCAGAAACCGAGGGCTCGTTCACGAATGGCTCAACAAGACGGTCGCGTGGAGTTCGGCTTCGTCGACCTGTTCTGGATCGAGTGGGTAAGCTCGGCGCGGAGGCGTTGGTCCCTCCTCATTGGCCTGGCCTGCACGTTCGAGAGAATAATATTCCCTAATCCTGAGGAAGATTGTACACTAATACGCGTTGCAGGCCCATGCCGCACTCGATGCCTCGGTGTCAAGTCTAAGGCGATTGTGCTTCATCGTGGGGCGCACGCTCAGAATGAGCTTCTGGGTCTGCAGAGCAGTCCCAACCAAACCCCCCTCTCAGCAGTCTTCCTGTGTGGACTCCTCCGTGGTGGCTTCGGGGGCAGGGTGCTCGGCCCTCCGTCCGCACCCATGACGCCGAGCGGGTGCTGTGAATGGCTTGCGGCCGGAGCCACTCCCCTCTGAGGCTGGGACTGATCCATGTGCACCGCCCGGAGAGCCGATCTTCAGGGAGCGACTTGCATAGACCCGCGCGAAGAAGCTAAAATGCTTAAGATAGCTGCGCGGTCCCTTGAATAAGTCTGGATTGCCGAGGGCCGGAGGGCAGAAAGCTTGTGCACTAAGTTCACCGAATGTTCACACCACGCTCACCTCGGGGGGTCCCAGGACCTCTGTTCCCGTGGCAATGGATATGGATAATTCCCCTCTTCGCCTTCTCATCTCATCCCTAAACTCTCTCCACCTCCTTTGCCTACGCTTCGTTTATCCGCGTCTGCCCGCCCCTCTGCATGTCCAAGAGCTGCAACGCCCAGCGCTTGGTGGCCGATGAGGGTGGGGAAGGTGCAGAGAGAACAGGAAACACATATGCATATGCATAACCCCTGCACCGATGCGTTCGCATCAACGGCCCGAAACAAACATACTTGAAACGCCGCAGCTGGAGCTCAGGGAATGAATCCGGCGGTTGGAGCAGCACTCCTTGACATGTTGATGTGCAGCAACGTGACACGGTCCCTGTAGAGGTTAACCTGCGGGTCCGATGCAAAAGCCACATCAACGGTGCTAAGCCACCGATCCTCTCCAGCCTCTTAGGGAGATTGGAAAGAGGAGGAAGAGGGAGAGAGGGAGAAGAGAACATAACTAAGAGAGACGAGACTGATTATCCGCTTCCGCGTGCACTCGGTGAAATTATCAGACCCCCAACTCACAAGGGTCTCCGTGGCGCTCCCGGGCGCTTCCAATGATGGTTGTGTGATGTTTCCCGAGGCCTCGGGCTGCGTGGTTCGGAACACATGCTTACAAAATGCCAGAAGATAGTCCCAAGTGCCTGGCGTCTCGGCCCACGAGGCAAACCAAAGAAAGAGCCAGCATTTCTATTATATAATGATGTCGATATTCCCGCCTACTCGTCTAAAGTCGGGGAGACGTAAGACCCGGGTACGGGGGACTCGGAAATCCCCGACGAGGTCGTCAAAAAAATGACGAGGCCGAGCCTGCATTTTGACGAGGCCTCCCGCTGCAGACATCCCACAAAACTCCTCCTCGTCAAAATCCGAGTCGCGGTCGTCAAAAAACGATGGCGAACCCGAGTCCCGGCAAACCCGGGTCTTACGCTCCCCCGATAAAGAGCGTCCACGACGGCCCAAAGGGGGAACTCAATGAGGCCTCATGACCCGCCGGGGAGAGGGTGTGCCCTCGAGACAAAGAACGCGGTGCTTGCCAGGCCCAGGGAGGTCCCAGGGAGTTGGGCAGGAGGAGCAGGAGCGAGGACGAGGAGGGAGGATGGTCGTGCAAGCACCAGGATGGTATCCCCTCTTGGTCGACAATTCCCCTCCCCCCACCCTCGGCCCTCCCCTCATGGCTGCCCCTTCTCATCGCGCCCCCCTCCCCCGAAGCTGCCCAGCAGGACTTGTCCCAGAACGCTCGGGCCGCACTGCCAGCCAAGGCGCCTCGCGTGACTCGCGCAGGACCGTGGGGCCCGCGGCCACGTCGCCGGAAGGCAGCGGCGAGGTGGGCGCCCGTCCGCGCACGTGGCCCGAGCCCGAGGCCGGGCAGTCTCGGCGCGGCGCCTGGGCGCACAGGTCGGAAAGCGCGCGCGGTGGCAAATCGCGGGCACACGTCGAGCCAACGGCTCCCTGGGAGCTCGGGGCTGCGCGCTCGCTGCCGGTGTGGTCCCCAGAGGTGCCGAAGCGCGGCTCGACCCTGCATCGCCACCAGCACAAGGTTCGCGGCATGGGGGCGGTTTGTTCCACGGGCGGCCCCGACTAGGAGAAGAGCAGGACTTTCGGAAGTCCGCGCGGATTTCTTGGGACGGCGCTGGAGCCCCTTCCCTGAGGCGCGGACAGCGCCAGGGGCCCCGACTAACTAGAATCAATTCCTCTTTTCGGAGGTCCGCGCGGATTTTCTGGGACGGCGCTGGAGCTCCCTCCGTGGTGCCAGAGGCGCCGCCAGGGGGGTCCAGCCGATGATATGCCGATGTGTCTTAACCGATGCGTGGTAATAATCCCCATCCAGGTAGAGGAAACACGAGCGTCGCGGCGAATTGCGAATCACCCTTGCCCGAACTGGAGACTGAACGCCACCCTGACCCCATGCTTTGGCCGGAACAGAACAATCGAACAGAAGGCCCGAAACGACCGTAAAAACATCGTCGCTGTGTCAAGCCCACCCCTCAAGGATCACGGCAGGGTTGCGAACCGTCGGGCATGGCCAATTTGCCTTCAACACTACATCCCCCTATCGCGCCGAAGTTTCGCCAAACAAAGGACATTCCTAGCGTTCTCGCAATCGGAGTGACGACGCGAAATAAAAAACACCCACAGTTGCATCAAGTCGTCGCTGCGGGCTTCGGCGGACAAATCCCAGGAAATCCCAGGACAAGGAAGCGAGGGACTGCGACAGGGAACAGCACGTTCGCAGGGAAGGCCAGGAAAAGAGCGAAACTGCCGCGGGAGCTGGCGCGCCGCGGGAATGCCTCGCATCGATGGTGCAAACGAACTCGCCACATAGACAAATGCCTGAGCTGGGATCAAGTGGGCACTAGATGTGAGAGAGAAGTAGTTACAGACCGGGGATCGATCTATATGAACCCTGTCATGCGGAAACTTCTAGTCTTCCCTCCTCCTTCTCCTCCTTCTCCTCGTCCTGTCCTCCTCCTCCTCCTCCCCCTCCTCCTCCTCCTCCTGATCGTTATCATCCGCCGCCCTGTCCTCCAAAAACACCCTAATCCCAATGAGCGCAGTTCGTGCTTAACGCCCTGGCTGCCCAGAGCCTGCATGTTCATCTCCTTCTCCTCCGCTGCAAGCGTCAGGCTGTAGATGTACTGGTCACCGTCTGGGTAATCCTGGATTGCGGCACGTGCTCTATATGCTCCTTCACATCCTCCTCCTCCTGCTGATCCTTTTCCTCCGCCTTCTGGTTCTATCGTAATCTCGTCACCCACACATATCCTCTATTGTATCCCGCATGCTACGTGGGATCATGGTGTTCTCACCACGCGCGTCGCACGTGCGCCTCCAACCTCACCCCTCCTCCTCCTCCTCCTCCGCCTCCACTTCCTCATCCTCCTCGTCCTCCTCCTTTCCTTTCGTACACTCGTCATACATACGCGCACGTGCATAACACACACGCGCACGCACATCATACATACACACACGCAGGAGCCGTGGGCCACCATTGTGAGCCCCGTGTTCCACAGGGAGGAGGGCCATCAACTCCTTCGAATCCAGGGACGGAAGGCGAACGGTTGCTCCTGCTTCCAGCAAGTGAAGGCGAACTCCAAGTGGAGCACCGCCGGTGAAGAGTACAGGTTTCGCAGGATAGGATATGCGCTCCAGTGCTTCATTGCGTCCACCGCGCCACCAGGCCAGACAATCCGCACTGGGGCGACCATCGATTTCGCACAGGACACGAGCATTGGCAGACCAGAGGCCAGAGCGGAGAACTGGTGGCTGCATCTGTGCGCGATGTTCAGCAGAGCCACTAGCATGGGCGAGATGGTTTTGCTCCGACCGCCGCCAGAATGAGGTCTCGCAGAAAGGCCCGCCTCCGTCCGCGCTGAAAGTCCTCACACAGTTCGAGGAAAGGATGGCCAAAGATGCGCGAGAAATCGCGGCGGACCTTGCCTTCAAACGCCAATGGATCCTGCTGGGGCCCGCACGCGCCTTCAGTGGGCGTGGGGGCGGCTGGGGCACACGCGCACGGCGCCAGAGCCCTTCCGACCAAGGCAGCGATGTCCAACCGCACCGACTGCACGTTGCCCGTGCCGCTCCGTGGCGAGCTCAGAAAGCCCGCCCAACTCCTGTGTTCGGGCCAATCGCAACCCAACAATTGTCCATTGTAAGGCATGCCCACGACTTGCACGCCGACGGTCTATGTTTGCCTGTTTTGCCCTTGCGTGTGCAACTCAAAGGCCTTCCGTCCAAGAGATGTAGGGGGATACGCGGAAAGTGCGGGAGAAAAAACATCTACCTGAGGGAAACCAAGGATGGAAAGAGGAAGGGGCGAGGGAACAAACATCAAGCAAGGAGGATGAAAGTATCATCTTGCCCCAGGCGGGAACTTGCGCAGATGGGCGAAATGTTGGTCTTCTGCGCGCAGGTGATCGCACTGTTGCCGAAGCTATCGCGGCATTGGGGGCACGATTTGCACAACATTCCACAAGTGATACCAGGTTAACTGTTAATCGCGATGTGAACATGTCTTGCGTTACCTCATTGCCAACTGCCGCTCAGGAAACATGACGGAGAGGAGGGAAAGGTCCAAGCAATTGTGTGTCCGGTAACAATCTGAACAAACTTGTCGCTGAACGTTCAGAAAGCAAGACACTGCATACATGCTACGTGGTTATATTAGAATTTCACTATGTACGTAGAGTCCCTGGGTAAGGTATTGTAGAACATTGGATACACAGATACACACATACACTACAGGAAGCGTTTCCGACTTCACCAATGGAACTGCTTTGCTGTAGTCTGGGGCCCGAGCCGGATTGCGGCGGTATAGTATCGGAGATTTCAGAAGGCTGCGCGTGCCAGCCTTGAAGTTTTACACGCGCCTGGCACGCGAAGGGAAGCGGGGAAGGGAGAAGAAAGGAAAACGAGGAGAGGAGGAGGAAGAGGAGGAGGAAACCGTAGAAACAGGGTACGGACATACACTCTTTCCACTCCAGAGAAGCGGAGGAAACCACTGGCGGTGAGCCGAAAATCGCAAACGGGCCGGTACATCAAACATTGGCATGATGCACCATGACCTTTCCCTGCTCCTCCTCCTCCTCTTCCTCCTCCTCCTCTTTCTCTTCCTCCTCTTCCTCCTCCTCCTCCTGTATCTTCTCCTACTCCTCCTCTCGGGTCGCCGGTGATGGAGGGCTGCGCACGTATCCCAAACGGAGCAATCGGAAACGGAGGCCCTGCTCGCAATGTGTGCGATGCTCGGTATGCCCACAGGATGTCTGACGGTGGTTCTCCCAAACTCGAGGCGCAACTGCCAATGTCGCCGGAGAATTGCGGTCTGCGCACTGCACGAACGCCACCTGGTCAGACACTTGGATGCGCGGAACTGGCTGGCGGTCAACAGTTGCAAGGCATGAGGGTGTCCCAAAAGTGCTCCCAAACTGCCCCAGTGGGTCAAAAAGTGGCTCGAAAGTGTCATCAAAGGGGCCGGATGCTGCAGACATAGCACGACATGAAGGACACCGAACAAATGCATCCACTTTTTGCTGCGCGCGCGGGCCTCGTGCCGCCGCGTAACCCCTCGGGTTGGGGCCGGTCAGAGAAGAGCTCTCTGCGGCCTGCATAGAACTCACCGCGGCGTTCACCACGCAGCGAAAAGGCGGGCCGGATGGCGGCGCCGAGAATTTACAAAGGGCCCCTGAAGTGTGCAAAAAGGGTTGACCCCCCATTTGCGTGACCCCTCATCACTGGCGACCCGATCCTCCTCCTCCTCACTGCTATCCTCGTCATCGTCCTCGTCCTCGTCGCCGGCGTCGTCCAGCCCATCATCGCCCTCCCCCACCTCCGCTCAAACTCCCCTTCCTCCGTCTTCGGACCTGCTGTGGCGTGCTAGACTTTCGTAGAAATCTGGATTGCTCTTGCCAACGCTCGCGTGCAGAAAAGAAAGTGAAGAGCAGTGTACCCGTTTTGCCTGCACGTCGAGAAACTACTATCAACAGAACCGCTGTCGCCTGCTTGGCATGGCCTGTAGGATACTTGAGTTCCCTGGTGCCCCGACAACGCTGCGTCGCGTACATGACGGGCTTTACCCACATTATCCTGTTTTGGGCCTTCGCTTATCCCAAATGTCTCGCCGTGGCGCAACCAAATCAAACACCGCTCAATTCCTTCGCATACTCTTCATCATCTAGAAGAGCACACTATTGCATAAACAGCGGAGGTCCGCGCCGATAGACCCACCAGCGCGCCAGGGGCGGCGCCGGAGGCACCGCCTGGGGGGGCTCCAGCGCAGACCCGAGAAATCTGCGCGGACCTCCAAAGGTCTATGCTCATGCAAATTTTCTGCTTCGACATCGTCGTCACCGTCCTCACACATACACTCTCCCTCTCTTTGGCATGAAGGAGACGGATCCTGGATTCCTCAGCTTTTCTCAAGACGCACTGTTCACCCTGACCAGTTTCGGACCGTCCTGGAACCCGTGGAGGGCCCTGGGAGGCAAAAGCGACGAACAAAACTCAGGACCCCCGTCTACATGCCGATCTCCCGCACTCGCCCACCTGGATCCTAGATCGGATGGCGAGCGAGTGATTAGAGCAGCTCGCGCAGAAAGCCGCCTCGGTCTGGGTGAACTCCAGGCTCCGGATGTCGTGGAATGGGTTGTACAGGGCGGCCATCCAGCTCGAAGGAAAGTCCTGCCCGGGGATCAGCAAGCGAACTACGTGAACTGAAGAACAAAAATGGCGTGAACACATAACCTGTCGGAGGTCCGCGCGGATTTCTTCGATCGGCGCTGGACCCTCCTGGCACACTGGCCAGTGACCCAGCTCACCCAATCCTTCCTAATGCGGGCAATGTTGCAATTCTCAGAAAAGGAACAAACATGGCATAGTTGGGCGAGCTTGACAATACGCTAGAGAATTCACAATTCGGGAGAGTAGAACCATGCCACCCCCACCGAGGAAACCTTGGCCCCGCCCCCCCCCACAACTAGAGCGGGTACGCTGGTAGACCTAACCTACCCTGTGCCACTCGGGGTTGGGATGCCTCTGACGATGCTGGATCCCAGCATCATCACAGACAACGCCAGGTGATGTCCTGGCCGTCGAAGTCGACGTCCTCCACGAGCTTGATGTCCGCGAAGCCTTCCAGGCGCCCATCGCCCTCGCCGGGCCTCGGCACCACGCGGGGCGACGAAATCGACTCCGGAGGTCGGAGAGCGCTGACTGAGCACGCAGCCCGCCCCCGCCTCCGAGGCCTGGTGCAGAGGATCGGGGAGAAGCCTGGCTCGACACGCGCCGGTCGGGGCGGAAGGGAGACACAAAAACCAAAAAATTAGAGAACACGCCAAAAACTTACACTTCCGGATATCTGGGCGGACTTCTCGGATCGGCGCTGAAACTACTTGATGGTGCGCGGAGCCCGCCACGGGCGGCGCCAACAACGGGTGCCCAACAACCGATCCGAGAAATACGCGTGGACCTCCGGATGTTAGTGTTCATGCCGCTGTTTCTTCTTGTTGGAGCGTTCACGGTGGCCCAAGATAGCGCCAAGAGGGCACCATAGAGCGCGAGATGACCTCCTAGATGGTTCAAGATTGGCCAATCTTGCGCAAGATAGTTGCAAATTCCCTCCGAGACTTCCAAGGCACCCCAAGAGACCCACATCCTTCCAAGACCTCAAAGAACTCAGCGAGTTTTGCCTTGTCTCCTTTTCGCTTCCGATGGGCTTCTACATCTTGGTGGCCCCAGGATGGCCAAAGAAAGCCCCCCAAAGGGGCCAAAGAGGCCCCAAAGACGGCCCCAAGAGCGCCCAAGAGCGCCACAAAAGGCCTCCAAGAGCCAAGGGGTCTTGCCTCCGAGGGGAAGGGGGGGGGGAATGTCAGCCTGCTCCTTTCTTGAACGATGGGGCCCAAGTGCGCGCCGAGAGGGCGCCACGACCCCCCCAAAGAGCCCCAACAAGGTTCCATGAGGGTTCAAAACGCTTCCGAAATGGCGCCAGCTTCCCAACGATGCTGACACGCCCTCAAGAAAGCTCCAAGACGGCCAAAAAGGCCACAAGATGGCCCAAGAGAGCCCCAAGGCCCCAACACAGCCCGCGTGGGCCTCGAAAGGACCCCAATATTGCCCAACAGGAGCCCAATTCGTCCCGGGACGGCCCAACTAACTCCATGCGAGCTCCTCACGAAAGTAAGGCAACCATGCCACTCATGAACACATGCGAATGCCTTGCTCGTCTTCCTGTTCCACCTCCTCCTGCTCCTGCTCCTGCTCCTCCTCCTCCTCCCCAACATCATCACCATCATGGTTTTCCACATCGCGCTCGTCCACTATGATGGTCCTCCTCCTTCTGCTCCTCCCCTTCCCCCCTCATCATCATCGGTCCCTTCCTGGACCTACTTCGCCACAAGGCGACCTCAAACATACCGAGATAAACCAAAACCGGCTGGGATGTGACATTTGGCGGCGTTCTGACCGTAACCCACGCCGTCAACGCACATGTTGCCCGTAACGCCGATCGACTCACATATATTGCAGAAGCTGCCGCCGCTCGAACGGTCGTCTCCGAGAGTGCGAGGCTGGCACGGTGGCGGAATTTGCCGCAGGCAGCCAGACAGGGACCTCCTCCCTGTCGCACCCCGAGTCATGCTGGCAGGGTGGTCTGTGCGGTTCGCCGAAGACGTCCCCGCAACTTCTGTTACTGGATCGACTTGGAATTTGCAACGGCTACATGCTGCGCGCAGTAGTCTTGAAAACTGGCAATCGTTAGAAGGCTGTCGTGCGGTGAGTTGCCAAGATAGTGCTCTCGCTTGCCCGCCGCGCTCATTCGCACGCAACGCTTGCAACAACATTTGGTTTTCAGAATGAGGCTCTCGCCGGGGACTGCCTCAAACTTAGCGACCTGGAGCTTAGAATGATGCAAGGACTGCGCGGGCGGAGGGCAACATCCCGTCCAGAACGGGGCTCCCGCGAGAGAACCTCTCTCGCACGTAACGGCCACGTGTGTACACATGCGCAGCCATTGCACGGATGGGGCGGCTCCCCTTTCAAGCCGGGGCTCTCGCTGGACACGTCGTGGACTTCCATGATCATACCAATCTGCGCTCCTGACACCCCGCCACGAACATGCAGTGCCGCTTTCTTTTCAAACTGGCCCCTCGCATGAGTTGCAAGTCCATCGAGTGTTCTTCGCTCAAGAGGGCGCAATCAGAAATAAGGCCAGCACGGACGTAGAATGAAAGGAATGTGCGGGATAATGTATGGCAGCATTGTTGACCCGGGTTTGCTCTAGCCCCTCCTCTTTCTCCTCCGGAAAATGAGAAAGACGGGAGGGACAAGCGAAGAGGACCAACATACACACACACACATACCGGAACATTCATTTTCGGGGGCCCGCGCGGATCCGTTGGGTCGGCGCTGGTTTCCATGGCAGCGCCTCCAGCGCGCTCCGCCGCCAAAGGAGCACACCGCCGATCAACAAAAAAAACGCGCGGTCATCCGACAGCTTATGTTTATGCCGACTTTTCTTCGGAAGTGACGTGCGGGGAGGACTGGAAGTGGACATGCTGAAGATTCTTTGGTGGAGGGAGAAGATGGGAGTGGACAGCAAAGAGTTACGCAACTAGCCTCTTCGCCAAACGCGCCGTCGACAAAGTATGCCCCCCCGCAGCATTGTCCTGCGAACGCGGCCGATAGCTGGCAACGGAAACAGGCAACCTAATCGAGGACAAGCCGGCGCGCCAAAATTTGAACCCAGAATTTAGGAGATGGCCTGCACCGTCTGCAATATGCAGCGAAAATGTCAAAACAAATCACGGCCCGCAACTGCGGAAGGAGGAGGAGCACGACGAGGAGAAAGGACAGAAGGAGGAGAAGAGAGAAACCATATGGCGAAAGATGCTATTTACCCCAAAACAGTATCATCCCCTGGCCGGTCACACTGTTGTGTGACAGACCCGCACTGAACGGTCTCAACGGCCCAGCAATCCATTCATGGCTGGGGAAAGGAGGGAGAGAAGAAACACGAGAAAAAACGGGAGAACATAATAATACAACGAAGCGCGTGCCCGCCCAAAATCAGCCTCGAAAAAGAAACCACCGACGTCAACAGAACGTATGCCCAGCGAACGTGGGGGAAATTCGGGCGGTTGTTCGTCTGAGCCCGAAAGCCTGTAACCAGGAGGGCTGGCCCCAAGTGCAAATTACACTGCACAAAAAGATGTAGTGAAACAGCTCACTCGCATGTGAAGTCGAACACCTCTCGCATGAAACGCATGCTGGCAAAAGAGAGGGGAGGGGGAGAAAGGGACGCCACGAAACCCGCGGCCGCCGCTGGGTGGAGCGCCGCAGGGACTCTCAAGCTGGATAGCCCCGGGCGCCTTCCCGCAAAAGGCCTGGAAGGGCGGCCGCTACAACTCCAGCGCGCACGGCGCCACAGCGGCCTCCCTGTGGGCTCTGTAGACCGCGAACACTGAGAACGCCCGTGGAAGAATCGCCTCTTCCGCGCCGCTCTCGCTGCGCGGGGAGCGGCGGGAGGGCCCGAGGTTCAGGAGACGTTCGCAGGCGCTGGCCGTGCCAAACCGGGCTGGCGCGAGCAGAACGAATGGTAGGAGTCACAAAAGGCGTAATGCTCAATGGAGTCCTCTCCGCGGCCGCAGCCGGGCAGACCATCCGCCCTGCTGTGAAAGCGCCGCGCCTTGCACCATCCGTTGAGAGCCGTGCGGACGAAAACGGCGCACAATCGGGGAGGAGCCCGACGCACCAACAGATAGCAAACTGTACTCAGCCGGACGGTCCGAAGCTGTGAGGAGAGATCGATGGACCACCTGGCTAACTTGACTTGGGCGTGTGCGCGGGCAGGGCTGCCCGAAGGCCTCAGGATCGCCAGCGCCTGGCGCTGCCATGTTTTCCTGCCCTCATCGTCCATCGGGCCCGCGCTCAGCAAGGACGAACCACGGGTTCGCAGGTGGAAAGGCTGATGATGAGGACGAGGACGAGAAGAGAGGCGCGTGAAGGGAGGAAAGGAGGGAGGGAGAGAGGAGGAAGTGAGGAGCAGGAGAAGAAACAGAAGAGAAACGATAAAGAGAGGCACCACGAGGGCAGCGGGGAACATGAGCAAGATGCACATTAGAGGAGAAGTGCCTTCTGTGGTTAAAGACACCAACGAATACGAACTGGTTCTGCTGGGCGGCCTTCTTGGCCACGCCCTCGCACTTCGCCGCCTACAGGGCGGGGGGGGGGGGGCAATGCGGCAATGCGTCTCTCGAGAAGCCACCTGGGTGGCGTATTATGTCTCTCAAGCGGATGAACATTTATTTCACTACATGTTGCACGTGCCCCACAGTCTCGCCAGATGTTATCCCGTTTGCGAGAAGCACAACCCCTGTCTACCAAGCCCGTCTAGAATTAAACAAACCAGTTACTGGGGCAGGACTGGGCGAATCAACACAAGTCGAGAAGGCCAGGGCTGGCTGGAAACATGGGATTGGAACCCACCAGAGCTAGACGGCCGAGATGGCCGAGGTATACTTGTACGTGGAGGTCGCCCGGATGGGAGAGTCGGCGGATCGCGCCGCATCTTCGATGCATCGGTAACACCGGCGATGCATCGGTGACGCCGGCGTTGAGAAAATCGGGCTCCATCGAGCCGCATCGCCGATGCCTCGGCTATGCTGCGCGATCCTCCGACCCCATTTACTTGGACCCAATCTGAGGTCCTGGATTCGATGGATGGAGGAACTGAAGGGCTGCCCTGGACTGGACAGGCTGGACAAGGCTCCACCAGCAATTTTGTCTGTCGCCTCCAGTAGCGTCAAGCCTCCAATGCCTGACCGACGAGGCTCGGCACTGCCCCCCAACACCTCTGGAGTCAGTCCGAAACGCAGGCTTCTGACAACTCTGCGCATGCGCCACGCGCATCTGGATTCTGATGGGGATTCCGCCTTGTCGCCCGCTTGAGGAGGCTTCGGATGGCAACGACTCGGGGGAGGGCGACTCCGCGAAGAAAGCGAAGTCCGTGGACGGCGAAACATGGGACAGACTGGCCAGTGCCCGACTCGCCGCAGAACCTCTCGAGGCGCCCAACGAGGGCCGTGCACCGGCGCTCTGCGGCTTGAAATTCGGCAGGCCGGACCGATTCCTGGCCTGCTGCGCCGCGAAGGACGACGGATGCCCCCTCCCCAGAAGCATGCGTTGGCATGCATGCCCGAAGTGGGTGCGGCAAATAGACTTGCATTGTCGGGGGATCTTGTCTGCCCCATGGCACAACTACCCGCGTCGAATCCATGTCGAACGCCTCGCATCAACGTCGAATCCATGTCAAATCCGCGTCGGCTGCCAAGAAATACCGCAATTCACGGGACAGACGAAATCCCCATGCAACGTAAACAATTGGCCCGATGCCCAACAACACAAGTTGTGAAACACCGGCAACGGCCGCTGTAGGGCAGGCGCCATCGTTTGCCTCAAGTGGACAACTTCCGCGGCAACACCGACTGTGGATCCTGCTCAGATGTGCAAAAATTCTCCACCGCCAAGGTGCAGGACCTGCTGTTGGTCTTCGTCACCATCCTTTCCGTCCCCATGTCAGCACTCCTGAGAAAAAAAAACCGAAGGACTCATTGGTGGACACTGCCCTCGGCTCGGGCGAAGGGATTGGCGCGAAAGAAACGGATCTTGAGTCCTGATGGACCTTGCGCCAACCCCTCAGGACCAGCGTTTTACCCTGGGACGTATTTCACGGTCTCAGGACCGAAAGCCGAGAACAGGCCTGAGGACCCTTATCTTTCAGGACCCGACTCCTTCCATGCTGACCACCTCGGCTCGGACGCGGAACCCTCCGCGGCAGACCCGCCTGGGGAGCCACCACCGCTCCTGCGGGCTGAGGGAGCGCGGACGAGCGACTCGGCCCCGCGAGCGTCGCCTGCTAGCGCACGGCGAAGGTGCCGCGGAAACGGCCGCGGGCCTCTAGAAGCTCGGTGAGGGCCCTGGCAAGGAGCAGCCATTGGCGGCGCGCGCGAGCACAAGGCGTCGACGACGCAGAACGACGACGGAATCGTCGTCGTTGTGGCTTCGGAAATGTGGGGGCGCTTCCAGACGCTCTCATTTTGCCACGGCTGGACACGGCTCGGAGAACTGGCCAGGATGGACCCGGGAGGGGTCAGTCGACCAGTTTTGAAAGGACTTCGGGCGGGTGGTGGCGCGAAGGGTGCGCTGTTTTAATGAAGGCACCGCGCTTCTAAGAAAGCACGGTGCTCCTCAAAACTCCTCGCAACTTCTGAGGAGCCTTCTGAACGGTGCCCAGGAGCTCCTAATACAGACCATGCCTTCTAAAAAAGACAACTTTCCTGGAACGCCAACCCCTCGCGCAATCCCGGGAAGCGGAGGGGATTCCTCAAGCGTAGATTCTCATCCCGGATCCGTGTTTGGCGCCCCCAAGGGCCCGAAAGCGGCCCAGGTGGCGAAGCCGAAGATCTAAACATCGTCGCTCGCACCCTGCCCCTCTGTGCGGCGGTTCCTTGCCGTGCGACCTGCGCGCGGCTTCACGACACCGCGCGGATAGCTGAGTCTTGAGCGATCGCGGCTTTCCGATGGTGCGGATCGTTCGATGCCGGCCGACTCTGAGCCAACAGCGGCGTTCAACCTGGAACGCCCGCGCTGGGGTCGCCGCCGCTTCGACGCGGCGAGGACCTGCCGTACATCGATTCCTCGTCTTCCTTACAACGATAATGACGTCATGATACGGTAGGCTCAGGATACGTTTCAGGAATTCTGAGGCATCTAGCTGGCCTCGTTACTGGAGCCCGTTCGGAGCAATAACTCCTCAGATATAAGATCGCAGACATCATGGAACGTATCATTATCATGACCTCTTACTCCCCTCGTTCCCCCCCATCCCCCCCTTCACATGACCACTCGACGCCACGGCGGCGCGCCCAGCCCCTGCCCCCTCGACTGCCACTTGGGATCGCCTGCGTGACGCCGCACAAGCCCTCAATCACGGGAGCATCTACAGACCAGCGAGCAAGGGCTGTCCTGGCGATGGTCCCGACCCCTAGGCAGCTGTGCGTACCGCACATGTGAATCTCACCTTCAGGGGGGCTCCATGTGGGGGCCACGATACGTGTGAGGGGTGTGGCGAACTGCGCATGGGGGAGAATGCGGGCCCTGCCAATGAGACCTTCGGTGGAGCTCTCTGTGGGGACACGAAACGTGTGAGGGGTGTGACGAAATGGGCCTGGGGACGCATGCGAGCTGTGCCACTGGGACGCTTTGGTGGAACTCCCCTGTGGGCCACGAAACGTGAGGGGGGGGTGCTCAAATTGGTGGGGAACCGAATGCGAAACCCTCCTCCTGGGGTGGGGCAACGAAACGTGTGAGGGGTGCGCCTGAATCAGTGGGGAGCCGCGTGCGAATCCCTCTCCTTGATGGCTTCAGTTGAGCTCCGTATGGGACCTCGCAACGTGTGAGGGGTGCCGAAACGGGTGAAGCGCATGCCAACCCCCTCTGAGGGCTTCGGTGGAGCTCCTGTGGGGCCACGAAACGTGTGAGAGACATGCCGACATGGTTGGCACTCGGAGATCAGAGGCATGGACGGGAGGATGCAGGGATGGGGAGGCAAAAGGAGGAGGAGGGAGGACGGCGGGCGCTGTCTCTTCGACATGAGGACCCAACACCACAGGCTGGTCGGACGACCCCATCAGCGCGTTAAGGCTGAATCAATGCCAGGTTGCAGAACAAGCGATAGCCCGCACAGCTTGAAAGAACACGTGCCAGTCACTTACACTCTTTATCCCTCCCGACCAGATGGAGGGCAATTACACCGCAGCTGGCCTGGCCCATCCTGGACCAGGATCGGCGTCTGTGCGTCAAGCGTTCACACCGATCCTAGGATCAGAATGGGCCTGGCCAGGGCCAGGGCCGTGCACCTATGTTCCTATGACTCATATGTCTAGTGATCTCGCCGCCACCAGTAGGAGCGAGGGTGATGTGCGGCAACCGTCGCTGCGACGTCGACCCCCCCCCCTCCCCGGCCCCACCAACGGCAGGCAGCCCAGGCAGCACCCGCAGCGGTCGCATTCCCTGGGCGGCGGGCCGGGAGGGCTGACCAGAGGTGCGGCCAAGCGGGGGGGGGGAGAGCGGGGGAGGGAGGCAGGGGGGACAGAGAGGAGGGACAACAGGAGGAAGAGGGCCCAGGGGGAGAGCAGGGGAGGGAGGCAGGGGGGGACAGAGAGGAGGGACAACAGGAAGAGGAGGGCCCAGCAAGAACTCCACGTTTTGGGCCCGGGGCCCACCACGGGACCAGGGACCGAGACGGCCGACCTGGAGACGCGCGACATCCTCGTGGCGGCCTGGCGTTCGTGGGCCATGCGACTCCACGGGCACCCGAACCCGTGGGGCCTTGCGAGAGGTCAAAGCTCGTTGCCACTGTGATACGTCCCGGCCGGAGCATCCAGGGCCCAGCATCCACCACGACTTATCTCAAACAGATCTTCACTGCACTGCACTCACTCCCTTCAGGCAACACATGCAGGGCTTCAGAACGGCTGGATCCAGAGATCGGGAATGGAGATGGTTGTACAGCGTTAGGTCTTCCTCACGTCAATCCGGATGTTGCTTTGCAGGCCGCTCTCAGATAAGTTGACAGCTGAGCATCGCACGCGTGCGCGAACGTTGTTTGCAGGAGGCACATGGCCCCAGCAGCGTATCTTCAAGGCGTAACAAGCATCGACTGACCAGTGCCAGGCAGGTAAGGAGGCTGTAGGCAGAGATTTGCACCGCACGTATGTATGCAGCGCGCGTGACCAGCAGCATAGGCGTGCAGTTGGCAAGCACCTGCAGCAGAATGGAGCCAATGATCTCCCAGTATTCGATCAGCCCTGGTCTACGACATGTGTAAACGATCCCATCGACTCCTTGGATGCGTAGCCAGTCTCTCACGACGTGTCGCACGAAGGCGGACATCCAGGAGTTATCACAGGAGAGGTCTTTTACAGATGGATCCATCTTGCACTGCGATTGCGAACCCCTTAGGCGACCAGGGTGAAGCTATGCCATCTTGGATGCCTGGGGGGAGTGCGTCTATTGACTTTGCTGCGGTCGGCCCCATGCCCCTGCCCAAGGAAGATCCTGCGGGTTCTGAGGTGTACAATGCCACCCCCTCAGGATTCAGTGCGATTGTCAGGCAGCAGTAGATGGGACGTCCAGGGGAGAAGAGTGGTGCTCGTCTCCTGCGAAGGCCCACAGTGATCTCTGTTGCGAGTTTTGGTTTCTGGTTTTGGACCCCACGACCATCTCAGATCGTTGAGATTACAACACACAACACCCGAGCCCAGAGGCATGAGCTGGACGAGCGTTGTTCCGAGGCAACCGCTTCGTGGACGAATGTGCGAAGAAGGATGCCAAGATGTGTGAGCACTCTTTCTGAAAGCGGCAGGCGTAGAAGCAAAGGTATCACATGACAACATGTGCCCTAAAGTCTGCAGTGCAACCCACAAAGATGTCGTTTGACTTAGTGGATGCGATAACCGACGTCGAACATAATATCAAGACAATAATTGCCGCGAGTCAGCCCGACGAATCAATCCTTGTTCCTCCTCTGATGCCGCCTCCTCCCACGACTGAGACCAAGCAGCGACAGGACACTCTACGAAAGAGCGCGGCGCCAGCCAAGTTCGTCGTAAAGTGTCCGCCGACGGCCGCTGCTTCTAGGGTCTCTCTTCAGACTGCGAGCGGACCATCGGATGCAGAACCCGAAGGGTTCGACTCTAGTCAAGCCCGCATTCTCAAGGCACGAGGGTTGGGACATCATTCATTGTTCTGACTACCTACCAGACCACCCCAACCCAACCCGAAGACCCGAATTCGACCCGAATTTCGGGTTGGGGGGGGTACGGGTTCCATGTGTTTTTTCAGCGTTCCCCGCCCCCCCCCCCCACTGGAAATCGAGGATAAATTTGGGCCTTCGGGTTGGGTTGGGGTGGTTTGGTCGGTGGTGAATTTTGCAGGCGTTGCGCTTCTTCCGCTCTATGTAAGTGGACGGATCCGATGCACGTCCCCCCGTGCGGCGGCCCGATCCCGTACATCCCAAAGTCGACTGACGCGTCTACGGGTCGGCCGCCGCCCACAATCAGGAGTACCCGTGTTAGTAGAAACTCACAACGTGCGAGGATTCTCGCGCAATGTCCACTTGCATCAGACCCAAGCAGGGCAATCCCGACATAGTCCTCCTCCTCGTCCTCCTCCTTCTGGCCGTGACGTGGGGGGAGCGGGGCGCGCGCATCGCGGGGACCCGTGACGTCGCAGGGTGCCCGGGAGGGACGCTAAGGGAAGGGCGGGGGGCGGGGGCGGGGGCCTGGCGGGGCCATGGAGGGGGCGGCGGGGGCCGGGGAGGCGCACGGTGGGGCCCGGCCGCCGGGCCCGCGGCGCGGGGAGAGCGGGCGGCCGTGGGCGAGCCCCCAGGATCCCCAGGCCTGCGGTCTCCCTGGGCTCCCCCCCCCCCCGCCTCCCCCTGCTCCCCCCACGGGAATCCTCCCCCTCACTGTGACCCCTTCTCTCAGGAGGTTGAGACATCTGGATGGGCTCACTCGCACGAAACCTTCTAGGTCAGCGGCCTGTCGCTGAAGCAGGTCATGCAACTCGCGCACTTCTCCTCGCACGTGTCCACCTCGCGGCAAAACTTGCGGCCGCCGCCTCTCCTCCTGCTGCTGAGTTTGGGTTGTACGTTCCTCCTCCTCCTACTCCTCCTCTTCCTCCTCCTCCTTTTTCTCTCATCCTCGCACAAGCTGATGCCAGGTCCCTCGGGGGTGGCTGGAACGCCAGGCTCCTCGATCCCCTCCACCCGTCCTTCTCATCTCAAGAACCCCCCTCAACGCTCCATGTTCCCATCACTTCTCCTCTTCTCCCTGCTCCTTCTCCTCCTCGTCCAACTGCAGGCCCTCCTGGATACTGACATCTGCTGGGTTTTGCCCCCCCCCCAACTCTATGGACCTGTATATCAAGTGGCTGCGTACAATGTTGCGTTGCAGCGGAAGTGATTCAGAGTGGCGATGCTGCAAAAACCAGACGCACACCTACTCAGGCTTGCGAAACGTGTGCACGATCTCTCGTCAGGTAAAACATGCACCAAAGAAAGCTGAAGATCTTGGGGTGTTACCGAGCAGCCAGTGGGCAGACTATCCAATCTTCTGGGAGAGAAACCAACGACAAACGTAGATGATGGCAAACGGGACGCTCGCCACGACAACAAACAACACGCTTCGTATAATCTACACTATATGAACTCAACGTACAATGCATACTCGGGTAGCGCGCAAAATATCCATGCCATGCTGTCTAGATGCTAAGCCTCGGCGCCCGGTACATCTGGACCAGGGAACCCTCAACACGAACGCAATATAAACTCACCAAATGTGGTAGAATGCCCTACCCGACGTGCGTCGTATTTCAACAAAATCCTCGTCTCGGGACCAACTTGATCCTCACTTCCGTGATGAGGAAGAACGCTCATATGGCAAGACCTAACGACGGCAAACAGAAAGTATGCCCTTTACCGCAACCGTCCGACACCCAAACCCATGCGAGTTGTGAGCTGGCTGCGGAGATTGAGAAGCTCTGGCCGACAGCGAGTAGTTTGCAGGCAGCGAGTTGCAAGCAGGTAGGCCTGGAGACCTGAAAAGAGTACTTACAGGGGGATGACCGAACAACCCTTCCACTGTGGCGCTGGAGGGCCACCAGGCCACTAGGGCCATCGTCCGATCAGAGAATATGGATAGTCGTATTGGATCAAATGCATCATCTATGTTCGTACTCCGTGCCACGAAAGGACCCAAGCGCCTTGAGAGAGAACAAAACACTTCAAGAATATGTTGTACGCGAGTGCCCTGGAATCTTCCAAGCCAATTCCGGCACTGTTCCCGAAGAGCCACTGGATCAACAGCAACTGGCAGCGCCCCGCTGAGCCCTCGCCCGCCTCGGGGCCATTGCAGCTCGTGTTCCCTGCGCATGATGCGAATGCCCTGCAGCCAGGGAGGAAGCGCGGCAAGCCGGGAGGCAACACAAGAGAGGGTGGATTCCCGAAGAGTCGCAAGGTTGCATGATTTTCGTGGGTGCTCGCACACGTGCGCACTATGTTAAGACACCTGGCGATGTGTTAATCTCCGTGCCCTTAAATGAACAAAACGATACTTGGCAGACGGAAAAAAGGGGGCGACAATTGGAATGGCGATCAACCACCTTTCAATCACATTGGATTCGCAACCCTCTGGGCGGAATAGGCTTAGGCGCTTCCTCTTCCAAGCCCCTCTCTTCCCCGAACGCCAACCAACCACCCACCACCTGTCAAACACAATATACAATACACATTGCGGCAAAATCTTGGATCATGCGCGGGCGTCCCGCGATCACTTTGAAGTAGTGCTTGTCAGGGATGGTGGGGGGCTCCTCATATTGCGTCAACAACACGTGCAAAGTGAATGCTGGTGCACACAAGACAAACCATTCATAATGGCCGCCCCGTCACAACTTTGCATGTGTGTGTTTGACAGGATTGAACGGGGCTGGCATGTTTCCCGACGTGTGATGCCACGTGCGCTGGCGCACCTGGCGCGGGCGGAGCACGTGACACGCGTGACACGCGTGCCCCATGCGCCCGGCATGCTTGGGCCCCTGGGGCGTCTGGCGCACCTGGTGCGCGTGGCGCACCTCGCAGCGTCGCGCACCTGGCGGTCTGGAGTTGGACCCCATGTGCTGTCCATCCAATGGCGACTGCTGGAACTGCTGCTAAGACTCGGGTGCTACTGACCCCCACCCTCCCTCTAAGTCTCAGAGGGGGGGAGGGGGGGGGGCGAGCAAGTAGAGCGTCCAGGATGGCCCAAGATGTCTTCACGATGGCCCCAGAGAACCCAATATGACATCCAACATGGCTGAAACTATCGGAAGATGGCTTTAGGATGGCTTCCAATATGGTCCAAGAGGCCCCAAGACCGCTGCAAGACAACCTCACTTGGCCACTAAACCTGCCAAAACCACCCCCACTATGACACAATCCGTTATACTAATGTCTGATGTTTTCCCGCACTTCCTTTTCCGATGCCCTTGGGGCCTCAAGATGGCACCAAGAGGGCCCAAGAAAGCCCCAGGGGGGGCAACGAGGGCCCAAAGACGGCCCCACGACAGCCCAGAAGCGCCCGAAGAGCGCCCCAAAAGAAGGCCCCACGACGCGACGTGTGGGACTCCATAAGGGTAACCCTGATCACTAACCTCCTCTCATTTTGTCGATGTCCTCCAAGATGGCTCCAGGAGGGCCCCCAATACTTCCAATAGTTATGGCCCCTAGAGGGTCCAAAAGAGCCCCACCAGCGCTCCAAATGGATCCAAGACGGTCACAAGAGCTCTCCAGAGCGTTCCAAGATGGCGCCAAGAGAGCTCCAATAGCTGACTGTTCATGCCCAAGAGGGGCAACCCAAATCCGCGCAGCCCCCTTGTTCGAACGATGTCTCTCCAAGATGGCTCCAAGAAAGGCCGCAAGGCTTCCAAAAAGGTCTCAAGAGTTCCCCTCGTCAAAGGGGCTCCCTGATAATTGTTGCTACGTGGGCGTGTGGGTGGCACGCGAACCGTCAATAACTTGCTCGCACGTGATTCACATTTCGTGAACGTGTCGAGGCACCATCGGCAGTACATCGGGGCACCATCATACATGGATCAGCACGCCATGGCAAATCAAGCGGGGCACCTATCTAAATCATGCCATTGCAAATTCGCAAATCTATCGTGACACCATCGCGCAAATCAACCTTGGCACCGAGGTTTGTTTTATTCTGCAAGGCCACATCAGAGGTGTCTCACTTTGCTTCGGTCTACGTAAACTGCAACACTCGCAACGCAGCGTGGCCACCAGTTTCCGTGACTGATATCGCAACGAAGTGTGTCCATCAGTCTCTGAGACTGATGTCGCAACATTGGCACCACGACACATCCGCCGACCCCCGCTCGCCGGGGGAGGACAAGGCGTGTGAGGCATTTGGCTGTCCCCCTCCCCCGTTCCACCTCCCCCACGGTCCCAGATCCGATCCGAGATTAGAGGGGGGAGGGTCCAGGCTCCCCGTCGCACCTCCGCAGCCTCGGGAGCCTCCAAATCTACACTGCGAGGCCTCCAAGATGCCCAATATTCAATCAACGCTTGCTTGAGCTCAACGCGCCTAGGTGACGTCAAAAACTCAAAAAGACCGTCTCATGAGAGCCCAAGAAGCCTCCAGGACGCCCCAAGAGAGCTCCAAGAGGACCACCAAAAGGGCCCCGAGAAACCAACATCGCCCCACACCCTGAAGGAAGCGTGCACCGTCAATACATCAATCGGCCCAAGAAGCCCCCCAAATCGCACCAAGATGCCCCAGGAGGGCCCCAAGACGGCCCAAGAGGGCCCCAAGACGGCCCCGAGGCGCCTCAGACAACCCAAAAGGACCCCTAAGAAGACCCCAAGAGAGGCCCAAGAAGGGTAGCTCGAACTGACATTTCGAGCCCTCCGCTCCAAGAAGAGACCCGAGACCGCCAGCACGGGCCCAAGAGACCCCCAAGAGGCCTCAAGAGAAGAGGCCCCCAAGAGGCGCCAAAAAGGCTCCAAGAAGCTCCCGAGAGGCATCCCGAAAGCCTCCGAGCCACAAGCCAGGCACGGTTGCTGAATTGGCTGAGAACACGAGACTACCAACAACACTTCAGTAAGGCGGCGACCGAAGGACATGCGACAGGGGTGCTTCTCCTCCTCGCGTCTTCCATATCATCCTCCACCTCCTCCCCTTTCTTTCCTACCTCCTGCAGACGCGAAGACCGCCTACCCATGTATTCGGGGGCGAAACAGCGCGCGACATGTTCGGCCCCAGCCTTCCCCGTTGACCTGTTCTCCCCCGAAGCCCCGACACCTGTTCGAGAGCGGGGCGACGAGCTTAGAGTCGCACCTTCCGGGCCATCAGGATGTTTCAGAATAGCCCGCGCGGCTCCGAGAGCCCCACGAGAGCCCACAGGGCCCCAAGAGATACGAGATACGAGCCAGTGTGATCGGGCCCCAGTGCTCCGAACGACTTCCACGCCCGTGCGCGAAACTCTCTGTCTCTTCCAGGGGTCGGCGGAATGACGTAAGCCACTTGGGATCAGCCTGGACACCGCGGCAGCGGTAGCAATCCTGAACGTCATCGCAACGATATCGGATATCGATTACGGCGGCGCCCAACCTGATTAGCGATGGCGTCCCCTTCGATGTGCGAAGGTGCACCACACTGCTTTCCAACTGCCGTCTTACGCCCCAGCTAGAACAAATAAACGTACGCTTAACATGCTGGAGGTCCGCGCGGATGTCTTAAATCAGCGCTTGACCCACCATCCACTGGCGCGCGGAGCGCGCCAGGAGCGGCGCCAGAGGCACTGCCAGGAGGGTCCAGCGCCGATCCAAGAAATCCGCGCGAAGATCCACAAGTGAATGCTCTTCGTCCAGGATCACGCGGCCGTCACGAAATTATTGCACCGTCGCAGGAGAAGATACATCAACAGTCTCGTTTTGCCTGCGACCCGCCACAGCTCGATCTATAACTTGGACTGCTGGGGTTCTGCTCGCGCGAATCTAGTCCAAGTCGCACACGTGTTGGCCGGCTTGGGGCGGGCAAACGTCGTCGTGGTCAAATGCTTCTCGTTCTCCTCGCCCCCTTTTGCTCAAAGAGGGCCACTGTCCCCCCTCTGGCAGAACGAAGAAGAATCATCGACTCGAAGTGGAAAACCGGATCGAACTGGGATGCGAGAATCGCTTCAGCACGGAGTCGGAATCGCATCGGATCGGCCGCTCCAGGATGCACAACGATGCCGTGAGAACATCGGGTCGCATTGCATCGCGGGAACATCGGAATCAAATCTGATGAGACTGGCCCAAGCTGGCATCGAAATGGCTCCTGACCAGGACAGAGGACACTACGACGCTAAGACGGGTGTCTGGCAGGTGCACTTGCACCGCCCTGTGGGCATGGTGGCAGCGGCCTGGCACACTCGCTGTACACGCACTCGTTGCACGCCGCCTTGCACCTGACGGGCGGCCCGAAGCGCGCACGCTGACGTGTCTTCCCTCCTCTTCCCTCCGAACTCAGCTATGAGAGCCGAAAGGTGGCGACTGGCTCACGGGGGGGCGTGGGAGACGGACCCAGAATCAACGATGCCAACAGATCGGCGATAGGGCCCCGATAGCGAAGCCCCACGCTCCCCAGCAGGGTGCGGGCCCCTTAGCCCCGATCGGCGATGAATTTGGCGATTGCGCGTCGAGGTCACTGCATATCCGACGGCGCGCTATTTGTGTGTCTTTTTCATTGCACGGCCCGCGGGAGGTCCCGACCCATCCGCAAAGCTGCTTTTGCGCCCAGGATGTATGCTTAATTTTCTCGGGGCCTGGGGCCTGATAAAGGGGCTCCAGGAACCGAAATGAAGGAATAACGTGCGGACAAAAACCGATCGTCGGAAATCAGGCTTTCGCACCCTGGCCCAGTCCCCTACTGCTGGCGCCCCACTCTTCCAGGAGCAGCAGGCGCAGCATCAACGGTGCTTCAAGTAAATCGGGCTGCGCCCCGCCCCCCGAAATGGAAGGAAAGAGGAAGGCCATCCAATTCCTATCACCATCCCACCTCACGTGGACTCGCTCCAGCAGGCGCACTGGAACACGAACTGCTTTGGCCGCTTCGGGCGATTTCATGTCTTGGTGTCTGGGCTACGGCGTGGCGGATACTCCCAGTGGCGCCCCGTCTGACGAGACTCCAGGGGTCGTGGGACGGGGACTGGGTGCCCAACACCAGAAATCCGTCGCACAGGGGCGGTCCGACTCTCTGGCGGCAAACGGCGAAAGAGGGTGGGGGAAGCTGCCCATGGGTTGACCGCGCGGCATTGGCCGCTGGAGCTCAGGCTCAGGTTGGCCACGCGGAAATTACATACATTGATTCCTGGGGCTCGTGCGCGCGCGCCCCAAATTACCCGCCTGCTCAGAACGCCAGAACAATCATGATACATACAATGTCGCAACAACATGCGCACAATAATTCCGCGCGGCGTTACGTGCAACACGTCACCGTCGCGAACACAATGAGCACACGCGAAGGCCATTCCACGTTCGCGCATGGATAAGTGCGCGTTCGCACGGGGAAAATTGCGAAAATGGCTCGCTAACGTAGGCACCGAATAATACCAATTCGGCGGCCCAACGGACCAGAGGCGTGCTACAATCTCTAGTGAGACCTTCATATGTTTTTAATTCGCGCACGCGTGGCGGCCCCTGGGGGTCAAGCACGCAAAGTATCTCTTCATGTTAGAAAGTGTTGAATCCGCGCGAGGGCGGGGACTCAAACGGATCCAATTACCACGCCCAGGTCGCGTTTTCAGAATTCATGGGGTGCGTGGGACACGTAAACAGAAGAGAGATTCGCGTCCCCAAGGCCATGACCACATTTAAGATTACGCAACATTCGCGTCCCCGAGGCCACAAACCCCCGTACATTAATGCACATGTTGCGTTCCCGAGACAACAGACCCTCGTAAATGCACTGCCGAGGCCCAGAATGCTCCAAAGCGCCCAAAGATGTTTCCAAGCCGGCCCAAAAGGACCCAACATGATCGACCCACGAACCCGGGAAAAATATAGAGACAAAAGGCATGGCAACGTTTTCAAAGTACCTGAAGGCCGACGGGCAATTGCAATGCTGAGTGTATCGATCTTGACGTACCGTGCCAAGGACTGTGCTGTGCTGCGCCACGCTGAACTGCGATGTGCCATGCCGCGATTGTGCTCTATAGCATTTTGAATCGAGTCCCCGTTTAAATCCGAGTCCTTAACCGAACTGATCTGGATCTAACGCTCGCGGAAGGAGGGAGGAGGAGGCGGGGGGAGGACGACAGGAGGGGGAGGAGAAGGAAGAGGAGGAGAAGGCGGATGATGATGATGATGATGATGATGATGATGATGATGATGATGATGATGATGATGATGACGAGGATGATGATGATGATGATGATGATGATGAGTAGGGGGGGGAGGAGGAGGAGGAGGAGGAGGAGGAGGAGGAGGAGGAGGAGGAGGAGGAGGACTGGGACGGTCGGTGGACGGTGGACGGTGGCCCGCTGTCAGTCGCGCCGCGCGGGCGTTTCGCGGGGCGGCGCCGGAGCGCCAGGACAAACAAAAATACAAGAAAAAAATGCGTTCAGAAAAACACTCACAACAAGCTCGCCGGCAGACACTGCATCACCAATCAATCTTGCCAAACGGCTGGAAGGAATGCGGTCAGCGATTGAGGTGCTCCCGGCCGCTGATAACAACAATGTTTACCATTTGTCGTCCGAGCTTGTCTCCACTGTCAAAATGCGCAAATCTTCAAAACCAGAGTCGCCACACGATGATGAAGAAGAAGCGCGAATAGCCCTGGAAATAATACGGCCCTCCCGATTCATATCAAGCACGGAATCTGCATAACCAACTCGCAAATTGCCCAAGCAAAAACCACGAGATATAATAACACTTCCACGGTCCAGCGAACATGGTGAACCCATCTGCGTATATCATCCTCATTGCCGAAGCCTTGACTGCTGGAGCTAGCGTCGGAGTTAAAGGCTCGCACAACAATTGTGTAATCTGGGCCGTTCAATTCACGCATGATCGAAAACTTGCGTTTGAGGACCTATCGGGTTTGGTCAAACACTTCCTGCGAACGCGGAACACATGAGAACATCGCCGTCTTCATCTTTAGACGCAACCTGACCAAACAGCTCATCTCGAAGAGAAACCTGCATGCCCTCGTAGTCGGGGAAAAATGCAGTCAAAACCATGACAATATATCTGGGAACCACCGCGTCGTCACAATCGCGAACCACTCTCCAATGACATCGATATTTGTTTGGGTAGTCTTCTCCACAACAACGCATGATGAAAGCCCTGTCTGCACTCCTCTCGGTGTCCGACAGGGACGCCCCGTAACTTTACCTGATGACGCTGTCTGTGGCGTTCCGTAAATATTGCCCTCCATGTCAAATATAAGTTTCGAATCGTTGACTCGAGCTTCCTGTAGAGAGTGGACTTCAGCTTTCGCCCTGATAGCGATCTGCTCGAAATCTCTTTGCTGACACGACAGCCGCAAAACTTTATGTTGCGACTAGCGCAAAACTCCTGAAAACCTCTGGCATTCCGCGTTAAAGTTGGCAACAGCTTCATTGAGAAAACAGACTTGCCAAGACAAGCCAACCCGTTCTTCTTGCAACCCAAACATCAGATTGTCCTTGCGAGCGATGGCTGCTGCTCGTCGTTGGCATCGAAACCAATGTTGTGAACATATTTCAGCTGCGCGTAACTCGCCCCTGGGCCCCTTGCATGATTATGCATTGTCTCCACCAGTAGAACTTGCGAAGCCTGCTGGAACAAAAACTATGGCTGGCTGGCTTGACTCTGGGGAATGTTGAGCGCTTGTGGAATCTTGATATTGTCCCTCTTGAGGAGGACGGGAACCTCGGACATAAGCAACATACTTCCAACAAGCGGTGGGTAGAGAGGGGGTCTGGGGGAGTCTGTATGCGTGTAGGATAACCCAAAATCGAATCAGCAATCGAGGTACACCGAGTCTCGAATCGGCAGAAATCGGAAACCCGATCGGAAGGACTTCCAATGGATCGATCGCGGCCTCCAAATGGGTGCATATCGCTTGATGTCGGCCGGCTCCAAGCGACAGGCGGCGTTGACCCTTGACAGACCGCGCCGGTGTCGCTGCCGCGTCGATACGATGCAGACCTAGACAACCGACGATGTGATGTTAACAATGCGCGGCCCCAGAAGCCCCAACCCCTGCCCCAAAGAGTGCATTTTCGCGAAGGACCCATTCTTGATGGCCCTGGGGGCCCGTGACGGGCCATAGAGACCGAAATGAAGGAAAAACGTCCAGACTGGAACGAAGATAGTCGAAGACCTGAAGGAAAGCAAGAAGAGCGAAGGGCCAGCCGCGCCGAACCTGCTGTCCACCGGGCCGTCCTCGTCCTCGTCGCCGGCGCCTATGCCGCCGTCGCCGCTTCCCTGCGGGTGTGGGAGCGGCCGGCACCGGTACGTGCAGTCAGATATTCCTGGCCTGGGCCCGTCAAGTGACCCTGACCCACATGGCGTCATGCCGCGAGGACCCTTCTCATGCAGATGCATGATGCGAGCGTGCGGGTGATGAGGGTGACGACGACATCTTCGATGACGACGACGATCATGATGATAATAATGGTGATGCTGATGTAGATGCTGATGATTATGATGATTATGATGATGATGATGACGATGACGATGACGATGACGATGATGATGATGATGATGATGATGATGATGATGATGATGATGATGATGCTAATGATGACGACGGTGGCGAATGCCCTCGCGTCGTGACAAGATATCGGGGTCATGCTTTGCAGTGTTCGGCTTCTGATGGGTCTTGCTGGGCCCCGAGGCCGCTGATTACTAAACACGGCTCATGATGAAGGCGTGGGAAGGGGCCCAGGAAGGGGTCCAGTCCTCTGTGATGCCACGCTGTGGAATAAAATCAACATTACTTAAATAAAAGATCTGGGCACATCGGGCTAGCATCATAAACATAATCCGACCATACATTGATGTGCTCACGTGGGATGTCCGACTCGCACTTTGGTGGAGTGGACATGCCCGCGCACTCGCTCGACCACTACAAGCAATCGTGCGTGACAAACTTCGGGCACGGGTGTGGAGCGAGATGGGCAACAAGCACAGCAGCATGGAAGTAGCGGTGGCGTAGGTGGTTGAGTTGCTCCACCGTTTCTACCCTTGTCCCGACGTAGTTCCTCTCGCATAGCAAGCAACTCATGCAAGTCCCTCATTGTCTGCGGAGCACGGCCGCATGCAAAATCGTGCGCTGACGTCCGCCAAAGTGACCGTCTGCGAAACGTGCGCTCGTCCCACCCACAAAGAGACGCTGATTCATGCTTCTGTCTCTCGTTCGCCCCATCGGGAGGCCGCCTGGTAGCCGACGGGATGCGAGGGATCAAGACTAATAGGGGAGGTACAGTCGAAACATGGCCACAATAACGTGGGTCAAGAGCATGAGCCCCTTCACCAAAGGCCGAACAACCCATGGAGGGAGGAGAGACCAGAGGCAAAGAACATGAGGGTACCCCTGCAAAGCCCAGCTGTAATTGAGGGAGAGACAGGAAAGGGATGGGGAAAAACCATGATGAGGCAGAAGATGCAGCAAACATGGACGAGAGAGGACGGGCGACTACAGCAACAGCCAGGCCCCGGAGGAAGCGGAGTGATCTCAAGATGTGCAGGAGCCTGGATGCACCCGACGCACATGTTGCACTTGTCCTCGCACCTTATCGGCATAGATCAGTTGGGGCGACGCGCGCGGGGTGTTCGACGGCACCCTCAAAGCATGCCTTCGCCAACCCCACAAGCCCTCTGGACTGAATTGGTCTAGCGCGCTTTCTCCTTCGGGTGCACGCGGATATGAAAAACGGACCCATGGATCCGGAGCGTCGGCGCCGGATCCATGGGTCGGGGAACATGCCCCCCGAAACATGGCGCCAATGCCGCCTGAATTTGGCAACGAAGCGCGTCGATTATGAGCGAACGCGGGGCCCATCGCTAATCCACGCGCCTTAAGCCATGTTTGCGAATCCTCGTCTAGCACGCTTCCTTTGCCAAGCCCCGCGGCCCCCTCCCCACCCCCTGGGCCTGGACGTTGGGTGGGGGGCGGGCGGTCAGAGCGCCAAAGATGGCCCGAGGTCGCCAAGGAAAGATGGCTTCCAACGTGCTCCAAGACCGAGCCAAGACAGATCCAATGAGGCCCGAGAGAGCCCAAACAAGGATCCAAGATTGCTCCAAGACGGGGTTGTTCGACCCCAAGAGAGGCGGGGCTAATTGGGGCCCTCCCTTCTTTGATCAAGGTCCTCCAGGATGGCCCCAGAGGCTCCAATGAGGACTCCAAGAGAGATGCGAGATGTGCCTACGGCCATCACAAGTGGCCCGAAGAAGGCAAACGTAAGTGGCCAAGATGCTTCCATATCGAAAAACCTGACAAGGCATTCATTGTTGTCTCCTGGGTCTGCTCCGGCTGATCACGAGCTTCGTTTTGGGGTCTACCCCCCCCCCGTGCTCCATTCGTTCCATTGCTCGCCCCCGCTCTCCCCTGATCAACGCAAATCGCCTTGGCATCAGTTCTGGATGGGCTGGTGGGGATACGCGAAGAATCTAGATCCACATCTTCCTGTTTTGTTCTGCTGGGCATACACAGGATAAGAACCGCTGCTGTAATACATCCAGGGGCACGTTGGTCGTCGAGCTTTGATGTTCCTCCCATGCCCCAGGCTGCCCCAGGACAATTGGGTCCCCAAGGCCATGGGAACACATGATCGACCCACGAACCGGGAAGGACTATAGAAACACCGGATTGGGCGACGGGCAAACGCAATGCTGACTGTATCGATCTTGATGTACCGTGCCGAGGGATGTGCTGTGCTGCGCAGTGCTGAACAACGATGTGCCATGCCGCGATAGTGATCTATAGCGTTGTGGATCGAATCCTCATTTGCATCAGAGTCCTGACCGAACTGATCTGGAACTTGAGCTCGAGATGCCTGAGCACAGAGTAGCTGCCCCAGAGATATTGACAGGGGGGCATGCCAAGAGGACGCGCCGCGGAACGTCCCAAGGGACGCGACAGGCGACGTACCAGGGGACGTGCCATGGGGACGCACTGCAGGACGTGCCAAAAAGAACGCGCTACGGAACGTGCCTATGGACGTGCCACGGGACGTGCCGGGGGACGCGCCTCGCGACGTGCCAGGGGGACTCGCCACGGGACGCGTCGCGGAACGTGCCACGGAACGTGCCAAATTGCAATGCTGAATGTATCGATCTTGATGTACCGTGCCGAGGGCTGTGCTGTGCTGCGCCGTGCTGAACTGCGATGTGCCATGCCGCGATTGTGCTCCGTAGCGTTGTGGATCGAGTCCTCCTTTGCATCCGAGTCCTGACCGAACTGATCTGGATCTTAAGCTCAAGCTGCCTGAGCACAGAGTAGCTGCTCCGGGACGTGCCATGGGGGCGCACTGCGGGACGTGCCAAAAAGAACGCGCTACGGAACGTGCCTATGGACGTGCCACGGGACGTGCCGGGGGACGCGCCTCGCGACGTGCCAGGGGGACTCGCCACGGAACGCGTCGCGGAACGTGCCACGGAACGTGCCAAATTGCAATGCTGAATGTATCTATCTTGATGTACCGTGCCTGCGCTGCGTCGTGCTGAACTGTAATGTGCTGTGCTGTGCTGCGCTGCGCCGTGCTGAACTGTGATGTGCCATGCCGCGATTGTGCTCCATAGCGTTGTGGATCGAGTGCTGGGGACGAGCGTTTCGCTCGATTAATCCTGCCCAAATCCTCAGGCTAGACATCCGCCTGGGCGAACTGGACGCGTGAAAACAAGTGGTTCGCTCGAGACATCCTCAACACATCTTCATTTTAGACGTCCGACTGGGTGACCTGAGCAGCACGTGAAAACAAGCGTTTCGCTCGAGACGTTCTCAACATCCTCATAATGAACATCCGCCTGCGACCTGGACACGCGAAAACGAGCGTCTCGCTCGAGACGTTCTCAACACCTCATGCTAGACATCCGCCTGGGCGACCTGTACACGTGAAACCAGGCGTCTCACTCGACACATCCTCAACACATCCTCATACTAGACATCCATCTGGGCAACCTGGACACGCGCGAAAATAAGCGTCTCGATCGAGACATCCTCAACACATCCTCATGCTAGACACGTGCCTGGACGACCTGGACGCGAGAACACGAGCGTGCGACAATCAAGGCTGGCTCGTCCCAGCCCGAGACCAATCGAGAATGCGTATCGCTGCTCGCCCAGGTCCCTCTGAACTCCAGAGTAAGCCCTCAGCTGCGACGTCGTCCCGATTTCGGACTGGTGTGGCCCCTTCCTGCGACTCCCTGGCTGAACCCGAGGCTGCCCGCACCACACGCAGGGTGCTGGACACTCTGAGCGTGCACCTCTCCGTTTGCCCCACTCTGCAGCCGCCAACGTCTCCAGCCTGTATGGCTGAAGATTAGCCTGGCCGTGGCGCCTGAAGTTCTCAGAAGCTTCGTGGTCCGCTCACGCCGCTGCGACAACAGAAATGTGCCGTTACCTCACCATCCACAATTACACAATATGAATACTACTCTCCTCTCTCCCCCGAAGACGTCGGTGCGATGTCCTGGTCTCCTCTGCGTATTGCTTTTACACACAAGATGCCGCCGAGATGATACTTCATACGCTTTTCCCCACCATCCTGTGGTGCTGGGTCCTCGTTTTGAAGAGACAGCGCCCCGCGTCTCACCTCACGTCACCTCACCTCCCACTGCCCCCTCCCCCTCCTCCCCCCTCCCATCATTCGCATGCCCATCCCATTTTGGCACGCCCCTGACACGGTTCGTGGCCCCATAGGGAGCTCCACCGAAGGCCCCAGCGGGAGCGTCCGTATGGCACCGCCGCCCCATTTTGGCACGCCCCTCTCACGGTTCGTTGCCCCATAGGGAGCTCCACCGAAGGCCTTACCGGGAGCGTCCACATGGCACCGCCGCCCCATTTTCGCACGCCCCTCACACGGTTCGTGGCCCCAGAGGGAGGTCCACCGAAGGCCCCAGCGGGAGCGTCCGCATGGCACCGCCGCTCCATTTTCGCACGCCCCTCACACGGTTCGTGACACACCCCTCACACGTTTCGTGGCCTCCATAGGGAGCTCCACCGAAGGCCCCATCGGGGGCGTCCGCATGGCGCCGCTGCCCCATTTCGGCGCACCCCTCACACGGTTCGTGGCCCCATAGGGAGCTCCACCGAAGGCCCCAGCGGGAGCGTCCGCATGACACTGGCCGCGCACGGGGCTCGGGCGAAACCAGGAACGCCGCAGTCCTTTTTGCTGTCCCCTCCTTCGTCTCCTCTACCTCGCGGCACTCGCAGCAGCATATGGTTGAGTCCTTCGTCAGGCAAATTTTTCAATCCAAAAGCTATATCTCCCGCTGCAGCGTTGGCTCCATGTTCCCGCTCCCAGTCCTTCCAGTGCATGATCCAGCTGTAGCGCTGACCCCATTTCATTGTTCTGGTTCGTCCGAATCCTGCTGATGCAGCGTTGGCTTCATTTCCACGCTTCCAGTCCGTCCGAATCGTGTTCCCACTGCAACGCTTGTCTCGTTTCCGCGGTTTCGGTCCGTCGAATCCTCCCGCTGCAATTGTGATCTCATTTTGCGCTTCCCGCTTTCCAAACCGTTCGGTGGCATTTCCCGTCCCGTGTCATTTGCGGTTTCCCTCTGACCTTGCAACACGAAAGGAGCCGCGTTCTCGATGCGATGCCATGCTATGCCGTCGATACCATGCAATGCCGTGCTATACCATGCATCGCGCACTCTCTCGGGACTGCCCTGTTCCACATACGTCTGTGTATAGAGGGGAGATCTACGCAATGAAAAAGGGATGGGAGGGAGTCAGGGGTAGGACGACAGATATGACATATGACGTTTGCGCACCTAGCTTGCACTCTCACCCCTCTCCTCTCACGGCTTCGCTGGGTCATAGAATTCCAATGCGACCCTCCTACCCCCCCCCGCCGCTAGCACGGCACCTCTTGTACGTCGGAGACGCGCACGAGGGGTCGCTGAAGGCCTTGGGGCGGGCGAGCCGCACATCACCTCCTCGTCCCTCATCCCCTCCCTCCGTCCGCCATCCTTCCTCCCTTCTTCGTCCATTCCTCCATCCATCTCCCATCCTTCCCTCATGAGCCGCGGGCCCCCATTGTGTAAGGGCCACCAGGTTGCGCCAGCGAGAATGCAGCCAGCTGAGAGGCTCCGTTCTCACTGGTGCAGGTTGGCAATAGCCCCAAAACGACCTGACAGGGCTCGAAGACTGCCCCAAGAGACCGGCAAGCCGGCCTCGAGTGACACCACACTGGCCTCGAGTGACACCACACTGCCCAAGAGTTTCCTAAGACAGCCCTGGGGACCCCCAAGAAGACCTCGGACGGCCCCAGAGTCCCTCAGAAGGCCCGGGACACCATCAAGCTTCAGAAAATTGTTACCCCTGTTCCCCAAGTTGTTTCCGCAAGGGCTTGCGAACTCACGGTTTGGCCCATCGTGCGGCACTATAACTAGGCGTTTCTACGAGGGCAGGGGTCGACTAGAAATCATCCCATCAAAGCCGCCTAATAGTTGCAATATAAAGGAATGACAAGATGAATGAACACAATAAGGTGGCCACGTCCCCTGAGGCGTTCCCTAGCGCGTCCCAAAGAAGGCCCCCTGGAACACATTCCCTGTCACATATCCTGACACGTCCCCTGATACGTTCCCAAGCACGCGCCGCGAAACATCCCTCAACGCGACAACCTGGCGCGTTCCCTGATACGGCAAACCCACTGACCTTACCCAGACCACTTCCCAAAACACGTCCCCTGGTGAGTCCGCTGACACGTCCCCAGACACGTCTGCGCAAGGGGGGCCCAGTGGCAAACATGAGAAACACGGCTGACGAAGAGACGGCATGACAGAGGGGAAGTTCCTGGACACGCCCCCAGACCCGCCCCCTGACAAATCCCCTCGCACGTCCCCTGACATGTGCCGACGAGCACCAGGTCAGATAGCGGCACCCACCACGACAATGGCGGATCACCCTAGACAACGTGCAGGCACGGAAGAGGCTGGCCCCGACACCAGTGGTGAAGCAAACGCGACACCTCGTCCAACTTGGCTTCCGGGCACTCGCCCGGCTTGCGGAACGGGAGCCGTGGCGCTGAAAACTGCGTTCAGAGCTCTCGCCGACCTGCCGGCGTGAACATCTAGTTCACCTCACTGTCACATCACGCCCCGCAGATGCGCGGCGTGGGTCTATCTTCGGCCACCTGGCATCGTGGGCTCGCCCAACCCTGGAGAAGGCCAACTCTCCAGTCCACACCGCGACGCGCGCAGCGCGATCATCTTCGCTCCCATGCGGGCGAACTAGAAAAAAACAATTTGGCATGAAGGAAGCGGGTCCTCAGAGAAGCGAGTGCTGCACCTGGGGTCATTCAGCAATGACCAACTCTTCATCAAAAGCAATGTGTTGTAAGTCCCGGGGCCCAGGGAAATCCCCAAAGGGCTGAAAATACAAACAAAAAAACTGTCCAAGACCCGCTTCCCTCAAGACCCCTTTCCGTCATGGCGGCACACACGCTCCTTCCAGGCCGTCGAGATCTGCAGGATCTGAAAGACGGATCGCTCCCGACCGATAGGCCAGAGTCACTGCCCTCACCTGAACTGCCAAGTTCCCGGAAGGCATCGCCAGAGGGGCGGTCCGGCTCCTGCGGGGTAGAGAGGGGGTGAGCATGACGAGGAGGAGCGAGGAGGACGGAGGCGGCATGAGGAGGGGGGAGCGAGGAGGACAGAAGAGGGAGGCGGCCTCCCAGAAGGGGGTCAGAGTAGATGCTTTCGGAGAATCGCGCCGCATCGCCGATGCATCCGCGACGTCGATCGACAATGCATCGGCGGCATTGGCAAGAAAATCTGACTCTGGATCGCGCCTCATCACCGATGCATCAGCGATGCAGCACGATCCTCCGACCACACCAACTCTGGCTAAATTTGGAAGGCCTGAACGGACGGATGAGGGACGAGGGAGGATGAGGGATGATGAGGGGACAATGGACGATGCACATTGCTCAATACGGCAGATGTGTGTCGTGACGACGCTGATTTGCGTTCTGACACGGCGTGGATCGCTGAACCTGGAGCGATTGCGGCTTTCGTTTTCGTTTGATATCGGCCGATTCCGAGACACTGGCGGCCTTGAACCTTGAACGCCTGCGCCAAGGTCGTCGCCGCATCGACACGACGTCAACCCTCCGTCGTACCAGTACCCCGATGCCCCTGAGGGCCCGACTGGCTTGGGCATGTCCGGGCAGGTCTGGGCGTTATCTGCCAAAGTCCTGGTCCTCTGGCGCCGCTCGCAAACGGCAGCGCACCCGTGCGGCAATCAGTCCCCATCCTCCTCACCCCTCGCCTCGCCTTCCGCTCCCCAGCCGCTCACTTCGTCCTTCCCCCTCCCCTTCCCTCCCCCTCCCGTTCCACCGCGTCCTCTTCGGGGGATCAAGAAATCACCGATACCGCTGCTCCCGCGAACTTTCCCAGGTCGCGTTTTGACCAGGATTCCCAGGCGAATCTGGCCGTGGAGACGAGATCGCGCATCTTCCTCCTCTGACTCTGACCCCAAACATCCGATGTCTTGATGTTCTCAGACCCTACATACACGTCCTGGTGATCCCCAAATCCTAAGTACAGGCTTCTGGTTATTCGTGGGATGCCTCAGCCTCATTTCCGCCTCTCCTCCCACTCCTCGCTCGCACTGAGGCTTCCTTACACTCAGACTCAATCGCACTATGACTCACTCACACCGAGACTGCACATTCGGGCTCATGCTACTCAGATGCACTCATACTCCCATACACTCATACTCAGAAACACTCATACCCCGATACACAAACTCTTGAACTCACTTCTCACACTCAAACTCATGCACACTCCGGGTCATCCACACTCGGACTCACTCACACTCACACTCACCAACGCAAACCACTCACACTCGGGCTCGTCTCTCATTCAGTATTTGAGGATGTCACGAGCGAGGCGCTGGTTTCAACTTTCCAAAGGGAACCGCCACGGGACAGGACGTTTGCCCGTTCGCGCCCAGACTGTGAGGATGCCTCAGTCGGTTTGCCTTTTGGTGGCTTGGACGTCGGTGCTTTGAGAACAAAATATGAGAATGCCTCGAGCAATCCGCTGGCGTAAGCACCCTATGGTGGAGCCGCCAGGGGGTAAAACGTTCACCCGTTGGCGACTGTATTGTGGGGATGTTTGAGGCGGTTTGCCTGTTTGGTGGTCCATACTTCTCTCTTTTCAGAGCCCCATGCTCACCGCGATGTAGCAGGCGTGGCACTTGCGAACCCAAAGTAGGAGCCGCTAGGGGGTAGGGCATTTGCCCGTCGCGCCAAGATTTCTGAGATGTCTTAAAACATGTGCCTGTTCAAACTCCCCCGACTCCTCTCATTTGCGATCAGGCACCCAAAGAAGGAGCCAGCATGTTCACGCCGTTCACTCCCAGACTGTGGGGATGTCTCAAACGGTTTGCCAATCTGGTGGCCCAGACTCCGGTCTTTTTTCTAAACCCAGTGACCGCCGCGATATAGCAAGCGTGGAATTTGAGCACCCCGACGAGGAGCTGCCAAAAGGTGTTGCGCTTGCCCGTTCGCAAGTGGAGATGCCTCGAACGGTTCGGTGGTTTTGGAACCCGCGACTCATCTCCGTCATGAGCCTTATGATCACCGCAGTGTAGTAGCATAACACGTGCACCCCAACGGGGAGCCGCCAGGGGGCGTTACACTTGCCAATTCGCGCCCATATCGTGGGACCTTTCGGACGAAACGCTGGCTCAAACACCCCTGACCCCTCTTCCCCTCTTCTTTCAGAACCCCAAAAAACATCCCGATGCAACAAACATAACATTTGCGTATTCCAACCGTGAGCAGCCGAAGAATACTCAGTCGCCACAAGCTAATCATTTCTCACCCAGACACTCACAGACGGAAACGCAAGGAACTGAGATGCACAGATCGGAATCACCGCATCGAAAACGTGATCGACCCACGAAACCCGAACGGAATACAACAAATGAGGCATGGCAACGTTTCAAAGAATGGGCGACGGGCAAATGCAATGCTGAATGTATCGATCTTGACGGACCGTGCCAATGGCTGTGCTGTGCTGCTGAACTGCGATGTGCCATACCGCGATTGTGCTCTATAGCGTTGTGGATCGAGTCCCCCTTTGCATCCGAGTCCTTCACCGAACTGATCTTGATCTTAAGCTCGAGCTGCCTGAGCACAGAGTAGCTGGCACAGAGCTAATTGACAGGGGGGCATGCCAGGAGGACGCGCCGCGGAACGTCCCAAGGGACGCGACAGGCGACGTGCCAGGGGACGTGCCATGGGGACGCACCACGGGACGTGCCAAGGGGACGCGCCGAGCGACGTGCCAGAGGGACTCGCCACGGGATGCGCCACAAAACGTGTCAAGGAACGTACCAAATTGCATTGCTGAATGTATCTATCTTGATGTACCGTGTCGATGGCTGTGCTGTGCTGCGCCGTGCTGAACTGCGATGTGCCATGCTGCGATTGTGCTCTATAGCGCTGTGGATCGAGAGCTGGGGACAAGCGTTTCTCTCGAGACATCCTGCCCATATCCTCATGCTAGATATCCGGCAGGCGACCTGGACACGTGAAAACAAGCGTTTCGCTCAACACATCCTCATGCTAGACATCAGAGACATCCGCCTGGGCGAACTGGACACGTGAAAACAAGTGGTTCGTTGGAGACATCCTCAACAAAAATCTTCATGTTATACGTCCGCCTGGGTGACCTGGGCACGTGAAAACAAGCGTTTCGCTCGAGACGTTCTCAACATCCTCATGCTAGACATCCGCCTGGACGACCTGGACACGCGAAAACAAGTGTATCGATCGAGACATCATCAAACATCCACATGCTAGACATCTGCCTGGACGACCTGGACGCGAAAAAAAGCGTCTCGCTCGAGCCATCCTCAACACATCCTCATGCTAGACATCTGCCTGGGCAACCTGGACGCGTGAAGCCAAGCGTCTCGCTCGAGACATCCTCAAGATCTGTGCACGTGAAAACAAGCATTTCACCTGAGACATACTCTGAATTCTGGTCCCCAGGAGAGGAACAATCTATAACATAAAACAAGCGCTGCTCTCGAAACATCCTCGAACAATTCTGGACAACAAGCGTTTCGCTCGGGACATCCTCAACAACGGTTTCGCCGGCCCTTCCCACCTTGTTATTTGCCGCAATCATTTCGCCGGACCTCTTCCCGTCCCCTTTCCGGGAAAATCCAACACGGAGCCGACGTTTGATCCGTGGGTCCTGACCCGTTCTCCAAGACGGCCCAAAGGAGGCCGAACGGCGAAAAACAAATTCGTTGTTTTCAAACTCTCGGAGGCCTGGGTCCCCTGCCACGCCCTCCATGGCGGCCACTGGGGCCGCCTGGACGCCCCTGGTAGAGGCCTTTCGAAGACGCGAGGCAGGGATCTATCCACCACAACCGCCTGGGGGGTCGCTATTGTCGGGTGACCTCGGCTGGCGGGCGAAGTGTCGCTCCCGACGCGGTGTCGCGCAGAAAACTAGCGATCGCGCTCGGGCGCAGAGCATACGTTTGACTCACCACGCTGTTGGGGGCAGGACTTCTCCCGGGCAAATGATCCCCCTCACCCAAACTCCATACTGATATCTGGGAAGTGGCTTTCCCGCCCCAGGGAGGCGCATGTTTTTCGCAGGTCGAGGCGCGTGAAAGCGGCAGCGGCAGCGGGGCGGCGCGAAAGCGGGCGAAATCGCCATTCTCGCCCAGGCGCCGCACATCCTGTGAGTGAAAGCGTGAGTGCTGCTTCGGCATGACGCATGCTTCGCTTTCAGCCAGGCTCATCGAAAATTGTGCCCACGCGAGGCACAGGCTGCATGGTGCTTCCTCGCCGCGGCACCGCGCAAGGATGCTCTGGAAACTCCACTCCCGCCCGTGTGCGGCCCACGACTGCTTCCCCTCGCCATGTTGTCGGAAGAGGGGCCGCGCGCAAGCGCCGCGCGCCAGTCCCAATGGCCAGTTGAGCGCCATGGGGTCCTCGTGTCCCGGGAGGGAGGCTCGGAGAGGGCAGGCCCTGGCTCGTTCGACCTGGCCAGCCTGACTCCTACTCCCCCCCCCTCAATCATCCGCCCTTGGCATCCGCCTCCTCGGGCTCCGCTGCTCCTGTTCGTGCGCCTGCTGCGCTGCCTCCTCCTACCCGTGGCCATCTCTCGGATTTGGAAAGGGACGTCAGAGGAGTCAGAAAGGGCAAACTCATGGCACGGGTGCTGCTTCAGGCAAACAAAATTGCAGACCAATCCAAAGACGTGGTCGCACACCGCCATGCCGAGAGCGCAAACTTGGGAAACGTCCTGGCCGCCTCGTAACCGTCCAGGGAGGACACGGGATCAACGCCTGCGCCGCTCTGGGAACGATCATAGCTTTAAGCCGAGGGCAACGTACGGCCACGGATCACGTCAACGACAACTGCGCACACTCGTTCCACGTATTCGGCGCAGATACACTTCAGCCTCAGTGGCCAGGTGTGTGTGTGTGTGTGAGGAGTGGGTCAGAGTGTGAGCGAGTCTAGATATGATTGGCAGAGGATAAATGGATCTGGGCAGTGCTGAGTCTGGATATGCGGGACTGCGTGCCCCTGAGCATGTGACTAGGTCTTAGTGCCTCTGAAGATGAGCGGAATTGAGAATGAGTGAGAATACGAGTGAGCCTGGGAGTGAGTGCTTCCGAGTGTGGGTGCGTCTGGGGATGAGTGACTGGGTGGGGCCGAGTCTGAGAGCGACTGGGTCGTGGTGGCGGAGTGTGGCTGGCCAGGTACACAGGTGTCTGCGTGCGAGTAGATATGGATACTCCCACCAGCCCTCTGGGCGTCAGTGGTTTAGGGCGTTGTCTCGTCCATCCTTCCCTTCGCCCCCTTCGGAGATGGGTTTACTCCTCCCCCTGCCCCCTCCCCTGGACCTGGACGGAATGTTCGCGACCGATTGGAGCGTCCAAGAAGGAATTTATGGTCCTGAGTTGGTCTGCCAATGTTGGCCTCCTGGGGGGGGGGGCCCAATTGAGTACTCCCTCTTCTTTGATATTACTCCTCCAAGATGGTCACAAGATGACCCCCAAAGCTCCCGATAATGGCCCAAGAGGGCCCCTAGAGGCGCCCGGGAGACCTCGAAGAGGCACCAAAAAGCTCTCCCGAGGCACCCAAGACGCTACAAGAGGCTCCAGGGACCCCCGAAGACGTCCCAGGAGGACCCCAAGACGCTCCCAAGAGACATCCGAAGAGACTCCAAGAGGCATCCAAGAGGCTTCTGGCCTTTCTGCTATTCCTAGTCCACCTGTTCCTGGTCGTCCCTCCTTCTTCCTGCCCCTCCCCCTCCTCGGATTCGTCCTCCATCCTCCCCCTCTCGGGGTATGACGGCTTCCCCAGCCCTCTTTTCGACTGAATGCTCCTGCATATCCTTGATGAGGACAACTCGCCTGGGCATTGTCTCTGGATGGGCTGGTAGGGTTGCGCAAAGCGTTCATAATAGTTTGTGTTAGTGAGCGTGCGTCTGAGTGAGCCTGGAGCATGTGTGGGTGAGCATGTATTTAAATGGTATGAATGGGCTTGAATGTGAGTGGATCTGAGCATAAGCAACTCTACACATAAATGCGGGGATCATGCTGCCCCTTCTCCGGCTCCTGGGCGCCCTGGGATGGGGCCTCCTGGAGCCTCATGTGGCTCTCTTCGGCCTCCTGGGGATTCTAGGGATCGCCTGGGACGACTTGGGGCTTCCTGGAGCTTCCTGTGACTGTATCCAACAGGCCTTCTGCAACTTGAAGCCTCCTGGAACCTCCTGGATCGGGAATACGAGAATTCGAGAACTGGAAATTCGGATCGGATCGACATATCCATCGAATCGGGCATATGCAAATTCGCCGGCCCAACGGGCCAGAGGCGTGCTAAGATCTCCGGTAACTTGTTAACAATATTTCTAGTTCGCGCGCGCGGAGCGGCCCCTGGGGGCCCCCGGACGAAAAGTACCCCGGCAAGGTCCCGAGAGAAGCCCGGGAGAAGCCACCAGACCACTCCAGGGGAGAGTATTTTTCGACACCCTTCACGAGGATCGTGGCCTCCGAGGGGGGAGCCGCAATCGACTACCCCCAAGAGCCCCCCAAGAGGCCCTGGGGGCCTCCAAAACGCCGCCAAGGAGCCCCAAGAGACTCCCAAGAGGTCCCCAAGAGGCCCCCAAGAGGCCCTAAAGAGGGCTCCAGGGCCGGCGGCATGAGCGAAGCGATTAAATAATCCGAAGTGGATCGGATCGGCCGTGTCAAAATGAAAACCATCGTCAGTGAAACATCGGACCATCTCGGATCGTCGGAATATGACAACCGAATCGGATCGAACCGACCAAAATCGATATTGAATCTGGTCCGTCCGCTCGTATCCCTGATCGATCCCGAATTGGGGGACCCGAGTGCGATCCCTGCTGCATCGCAATGATCACGGGGCTCCGAACAGAGACACGTCGACTTCCTGACACGGGCGTTCCACCTCAGAAATCCCACCGATCCAGGCGCGAACGGGGCCGTGATTCCATTCAGGTCGATCTCCCATGGGGAGCCCGAGAGCGACACCTGCTGCGTCGCCGCAACCATGGCGCTCCGGAGGCGACGGGCGTTCTACCTCAGAGTTCCCGCCATTGCGGGCGCGGGCGGGTCCACGATTTCACCCTGGTCGACCCCTCCCCCCGGTGAGCCCGAGCGCGATGCCTGCTACGGCATGGCGATCGTGGCGCTCGGCTTCGAGAAGAGGCCCGTCGACTTGCCTGGACGGGCGTTCAACCTCACGGGTTCCAGCAATCTCGGCACGACAAGAACGGGTCCGTAGTTCCACCCTGGTCGACCCCCCTCTCCGCTGCTGCTGCTGCTGCTGCCTCTTCGCAGCAGCACCGTCCATAGACGTTTGTCTCAGATGTGTTTTGTAGTGCATACGTGGCGCGGGCAAGCGCGCAGCACGGGATGCTTACCATATGAACCGATCCCCCGTCACAGAGGTAGTTCTGTGGCGGCGCTGCCATGCACACTACGGTCGAAAGCATGAAAATACATTCGCTTCGATCCCCTCTCGCTCCAAATACGTGGGTTCAGGCCTTTTCCAGCACGAGAGGGTGCGGCGAGATCAAACGGTGCACGGTCACCGGCGAGAACAACGTGAGTTATTACAATACGTTCCAGAACCAGTTGCAGAACAGTATCAATGACACCATTTCTATACTAACACCAGCGGGCACGACCACAACAACGTCGACAGCGGCACCGACAAATTCACCGACTTCACCGCGTGCTGCCTGACGGCTGCGGCGACAGGCGCACCCACAACAGCACCGACAGCGGCACAAACAGGTTCACCGAATGCTGCACCGACGGCTGCACCAACAGCGACACCGACAAGCTCACCCATTGTTGCCTCGACGGCTGCACCAACGGCAGCACCCACAGCGGCACCAACAGAGGCATCGACAAGTTCGCCGAGGGCTACCCCGAGGGCTGCACCAACGGGCGCTCCAACTGCCACACCGAGTGCTGCCCAGGCAGGGTCTCCGACAGCCGCGCCAGCAGCGACACCGACATGTTTCGGACTGCTGCACCGACGGCCGCACCGACAGAGTTACCGACCAAGTCACCGACAAGTTTCACCGACTGCTGCCACGACGGCTGCGCCGACAACAAAATTCGACAGTAGTATTTACCGACCGCGCCGTCAGTGGCACCAACCAGGTCTCCGACCGTTGCCCCGACGGCCGCAAAGACAACATTACTGACAGACAAGGTCACAACGACTTTCACAGATGGCTGCCTCGATGGCTGCACTAACCGCAGCACCAACAGCGGCACCGACAAATTCACCGATTGCTTATCCGGGTGCTTTCCAACAGCAGCATCCACAGCAGCGCCAACAGCGGCATCGACATGTTCACCGATTGCTTACCCGAAGACTGTACCGACAGCAATGGCCACAGCAGCATCGACTACTGCATACGGCTGCACCAACAGCAGCACCCATAGCAGCGCCAACAGCGACAGCGACAAGTTCGCCGACGGGGGCTGCACCAACGGACGCTCCAACTGGCACACCGAGTGCTGCCACGACAGCGTCTCCGACGGCCGTGCTGACAGCAGCATTGGCAAGATCTGCGACCGCTGCACCGACGGCCTCGCCGGCAGCGACACCGACATGTTTCGGACTGCTGCACCGACGGCTGGACCGACAGGGTTACCGACAACTCACCGACAAGTATACAGACTACTGCCACGACGGCTGCGCCGACAGCAGTATTTACCGCAGCACCATTTGTGGCATCGACAAGTTCGCCGACTGCTGCCTCGAAGGCTGCACCAATGGGCGCTCCAACTGCCACACCGGGTGTTGCCCAGGCAGGGTCTCCGACGGCCGCGGCGACAGCGTCATCGACAAGGTGGCCGACTGCTGCACCGACGGCCGTGCCAACAGCGGCACCGACAGGTCTCTGACTGTTGACCCGACGGCCGCACCGACAGAGATACCGACAGGGTTACCAACACGTTCACCGACAGGGTTACCGACACGTTCACCGAGTGCTGCCCGACGGCTGCACCCACAGCAGCACCAACAGCGGCATCGACGAGTTCATCGATTGCTGCCCCGACGGCTCCACAAACAGCAGCACCCACAGCAGCACTTACCGCAGCACCAATCGTTACATCAATTCGCGAACTGCTGCCCGTGGGCTGCACTACTGGGCGCTCCAACTGCCACACCGACTGCTGCCCCAACAGGGTCTCCGACGGCCGCGCCGACAGCGGCATTGGCAAAATCTGCGACCGCTGCACCGACGGCCGCGCCGGCAGCGTCAACGTCGTGGTCTCTGACTGCTGCACCGACGGCCGCATCGACAACGTTGCCGTCAAGGTCACCGCGACGTTCACGGACTGCTGCCCGACGGCTGCACCACCAGCAGCACCCACAGCAGCGCCAACAGCGGCATCGACAAGCTCGCCACCGCGGCCGTGAAAGGCTGCACTAATGGGCGCTCCAACTGCCACACCGACTTCTGCTTTGGCAGGGCTTCCGACGGCCGTGCCGACAGCGATCGACGACTGTCGCGCGGACAGCGGCACCGACGAGATCGCCGACCGTTGCCCCGTCGGTCGCACCGACAGCGTTACCAACAAAGCCACCGACACGTCCACGGGCGGCAACGACAGCGGCACCGACAAGTTCACCGACTGCTACCCCGTCGGCTGCACCAACAGCAGCACCCGCAGCAGCACCATCAGCGGCACCGACAAGCTGAGTGACTGCTTCCTCGACGGCGGCATCAACAGCAGCGCCCACTACGACATCGACAGAGTCAACGACAAATTCACCGACTGCTGCCCCG